GGGCAAGCCCTAGTAAGTGTTACTAGTTCATACTCGTTCCCCGGTGCTCGTTCCCTAGCTGGCAAGATTGTCCATCTCTTCGTGGCCCAGGTCGTCATTCTGGAGATAACCCACGATCCATAGGGTGAGGGAGGGCGCTGCGCGCTCAGGTCTGGGTCCCATGCCTCTCTGGGGGCCCTCTTGTCCCACGCACACATCTCAGGCGCACTCCATGGTAGTAGGAGGCCTCTCCTTCAAAGTATAGGGCAGTACCCTCGCCAACCCAGTGACCGTGCCTGTAACAGAGAGCCGATAACACACATCCCTGCCCCCTCTCCAGCTTCACACCCGCCTTCTTCCTCCCCGGACCCCTACGCCCACCACCACCTTCTGGCCCCGTCCCCTTGTCCAGTCTCTGTCGTAGGTGGGAGTGGGACGTCCAGCAGGCATTTATTAGTCATCTGGATTAGACTCGGTTCCTTTTTTTATTCGGGGTGGCCTTTATTTCTCGGCTTCACTACGGCTGTAACTTCAAAAGTTGGACAATTCATATCTTCAACACTCCTTTCTTTTCTTTAGTTTTTATTTTCTACATATCGCTTAAGTGTGAAAGATTAAATTGTTCTTCCACTGGGTCTGAATCCGGGTTAATTAATTATCTGGGTTGTGCTTTCACATACTTTCTAGACGCGTCGTATTGGTTTCTGGGTAAAAACCCTATCAAAATAGCTGCTCTAAAAGGCATGACTTCACTGACCTTGTGAGGGTGTCTTCCTACTGATGTCCATCCCCACCTTGGTCACACAACCTTGTCATATAATACAACGTGGGTCCTCAGGACTCCAGCCAAGTTAACTCACGAGGGGCAGACGACAGCTGGGGTGGAAAGTTCACCCTCGTGCTTCATAACAGAGTCATTTGCATACGGCTCCCATATCTTTGCAAGAATCACAAACATCATCCGTACCAAGCTTGTCTTTCAATAGCATCTCTCTCCCATGGTTTATGCATGCTGCATCACTCGCGTCCGAGACCGTCACCCAACCGCGGACATCATTGACCTGTAAACCATGTGTTCACAGACTGGAATACCTGTTTCCAGTCCCTGACACAATGGCGGCATTTTGTCTTTTATTAGTTCTGCAGTGTCACTTACAGACATCAAAAGGATGGTACTCCCAACAGCTGCGCCTCGTCCTGGTCGTCAGAGGGAACATGGTACTTTGGTCTGAGACCTGGAAAGTTCTGCTTGCCACCGTTAGAGTCTAGTTTCTCCGGCTCCTGGGCTCCGTCATCTCATACTGTCAGAAGAGGGAATATCGCTCCCTTTTTTAGCAGGTTTCGCTTTACAGTATTGGCTGGGCCATGGCTCCGTCTCCCTTTTCCATTTCACTGTCATTGTCCGTCAACTAGTCCATGGATCTGCGTGCGGCCTTTATTCATTATTGTTGCATTTGCCCCCCCCAACCCCCTGTCTAGCGGTCTCGTAATATGGGTCTACTTGGGTTTCGGTCTCCCTCAACTCTGTCTGTGGTGCTTCAGAGGTGTCTGGTTTCCTAGCTCTAATATTTACGGACGAGAGTGAGGAGCAGCTCCTGCACCTCTTTGGCTGAGGTTGAGGGGATTTGGTGAGGGGTGTGTGGGAGCTGTGGCGGGTGGCTGATCAGCTGGATTTGGACTCGGATCTCTCTTGTCCGCCCCACAGACTCATGTCTCGTTCCCTTACAGTCAAATTCCCTGTCTACAAAGTCAATTGTCCCCCTCTCTTTTTCCTGAACCCGCCACTATCTCCTGAGAACTGTATACTTGATCGGCAATATTAGAAATTTGGCTTCCCTGGTTCTAAACACTAGCGAATATTTTGGTGGTTAGAGCGGAGGTGCGAGTAGGGCATGCGGTATATTAATACTCACCGGGCATGCTCCGTTTTCTGTTTCCTTGTCTTTACTTACCATCGGTTAATTTTTGGCCCAACGCCGTCGGCAGCCAAAGCAACTTATGTACTTTGGTCCACAGTTTCTGCCAGCCTTTTTGAGTTCCTTCTTAATTTTTCTTACGCTCATTCCACTCTCTCCCCTGCTATACCATCAAGCTCAAGTTTATGCTCTGTTTTAAATTATTTTCCATCCTTCCCGCAAGATCTTGAGACACAGGCGGACGCTGTCAGTATACTCAGTTATGACCCTTTTGTTCTGAATTTTTTCCCATGCTATCTACAGCCTTTCGTTCTTGCCTTAGTACTATATTTTTTCTCCAGACACTCCGAATCTGAGCCTCTATTTCTTATATCGTCTGCTCGCATGGCATGCTGTCTCCCTTTTTCGGGAGGCCCAAACATTCCCCAGGTCTCCAAATGGTGAGAAAAACCTTAATTGTGTGATTGACGCGGTCCGTCAACACGCTAGGCTCCAGCGGGCTTTCCTGTTTCTCGGCAAGGCTTCTCCAAAAATCTCTTTACTTTTAATAGTAGTCTCGCAGTGAGTATCTACGTGACTACTAAGACTCCTTTAATTATTTAATTTTAAGGTTATTTTCGCAAGGCTCTCATCTCTTTTTTAGGCTTTTTACTATTAGCTCTGTACATTTTTGAATTAGCTCCTCCGTGCGACAAAAACTTCCTCTCCCTCTTAATTTGTGTCTGATCCATAGAATATATGACAGATGTCTTTACTTAGTCCAGAACGGATATCCGCTTAACCATCCAACTCAGCGGCCGCATTGAGGCGCGCATGCAGAGTCCAAGTGAGAGGTTGGAAAGTCTATCAAAGGGATCACCGGTCGAGAGGTCACCAATTTATTAATTATTTAAAAAAATGACGTGTATCAAAATCCCTTATAAAGATGACCAATGATTCAGGAAGTTAAATTCAAAAAGGTATATTCCCTAATACAAAAAGAATCTAAAACAGCTGTTCGGACAAAAGTAACCTATCCCTTATTCTCTATATAAAATATCAAAAGTATTGATTTTGGTGGGCGCTCCACGCAAATCACACTCCTGTCCCTGTGTCCGGTCCTAGGACTAACAAAACAAGCATGAGGTTATTATATAGTCAAATGTGCCATGGAGAATAGGGGTGCGTGTCGTAGATCAGGCAGATATGTCTGGTCCATGGTCCCTAGGGGCACTTTTCCTCCGTCTCGCCAGCCAGACCTGAACAGAAATTCATTCACCGCACTAACCCCAGTCCCTAATTCTATCGATTTATTAGTTCCTTTGAGATAAGGCCAGAGGGATCTCAAGGCTTCTCCTCCAGTAATCTGGACTCCATCTCCTTCTTTCAATTTTCACAAGACTTGAAAGGATTAGCAGAATCCCCCCAGATTAACTCATCATTTACACACCCAAGCACTTTTGACAAAATGGGACGGGGAGTCGTGGCAACTTCACAAGGTCTTTCTTTAAGCTAGGAGACAGACAGAGTTCAATTTCAGGTCCATCTAATACACATCGCCTTTTAGCCTACTTCTGTGCCTTGATTTTTCCGCTTGTGCTTTTTCTTTTTGGGTGTTGGAGTTGGAGCTGTGTGTCTCCAGCTCGTTCCAAAAACCAAACCAGGTCCATCATAGTTCTGCTCAGACTCTGTCAACGCTCTTATTTTGGAAGAGAAAGTCACTGGTTGATTTTTATGTTTGTTTTGCTTTTTCTTTGTGGGTGTTGGAGTCCGTGTGTCTTCATGAGGTTTCTCTACAGCACATGTTGGAAGGTGCTTTGTCTTCCTCTGCTCATAAGGAGACACCTCTACCTTAGGTTGTTTCTGTTCCTTGGTTAAAATAGGCAAAGGTTTGGTCTCTTTAGGTGGTTCAGTCTTGGCCTTCCCATTTAAAGGTCTACTGTCAGGTGTGGATCTCGGGCCCCTCTGTGATTTGGGGACTCTTTCGTCCTTCTGTCTGGGCAGAGCAGGGGCCTGTTTTACTGGCTCACATTTGTGGTGCTCCCGCTTCTTGACGACTTGCCACCCCTCATCAGCGTTCTGGTTTGGCCTGTACTCTACACAGGGATCCACTGTCAGTGGAGGTGGTGAAGCTACGGCTGGGGCAGCAGGAGGTTGTGTTTTTGGCTTTGACTCCATAACAGTTTCAAAGCGTGACTCCGTCATAACTTGAGGAATCTCCAACTTTGCCTCCACAGGCTTACGCATGTTCCTCACATAAATGTTGGTGGTTTTCTGATTCCTATTTTTTCTGGAGTTTTTGGCCATTTTAAACTCTACACTAGTTTTTCTGCTTCTATATAAAGGGAAGAAAGTGCTACCAAATTCTGGTCTCCGTTTGTGTCTCTAAGCAAAGGTCTCAGGGATTTGTCCTGAGTTCATCCTGCGTTACACTCACAGACTTTGGCACATTCCATTCTATGACATCAATATGGGTCGTCATGACAACGTGCGTCGTCCTGGCAACGTCCCAATGAAATGTGCATGTGTGCTTATAATCATTTATTAATGCCTGGAAAAATAAATCAATGCATCTCTAAATCTCCTTACTAATAAACATTCCCTTTCAACATGTTCACCCAAGAATGTTTGACGTTACTGGAAAGAAAGGGTCTTTATTAGGATCTTTCGCTTTTCCTGAAGTTCTTTGGTTATATTGAACGATTTGCTGACGAACTAGAGGTTTACAATTTCCATGGATGTATTATAATAAAATATGGTTAGGTTTAATAATTAGCCACAATGTCGAATCAGCAGAAACTGTAGTAGCGTCCAAATCCATATAAAAACAATCCTTTCCTTTTCTCTTCTTATTGCCTTTGATGACATTACATTTAACTGACGTGGAATTACAATAGTTTTGAGATTATCTTTTATTTCACTTGATCAAATCTTTTTGAGTTACATTGCCTCGTCAAATTTTATATAATATAAAGCAGAAAGAAGGATGAACGATTTTTTTCTGAATTCGGACGCGGCCAAATTTTACGGTAAACTTTACGACAACTTCAGTGCTTTCCTTCTCCTCATTGTTCAACGCTTTCTCTCACTCTTTGCAGCTTTGGAAGTGTAATATAAGTGTGAGACATGTCTGCAATCAATAGAAAAATAATTTACACCGCTGCTGCTCCTGCAGCGATCGGACCATATAGGTAATGTCACATGTTTACAATGAATCCATGCTCCAGGGTCGCAGCGGCCAAAGTGCATCCACAAATGAATGAAGGCAGGTGGGCGTGAGTTTGCGAGTATTGAACTTCAGCGGCATACACAACAGATCCTCAGATTTGTGCAGTGGCTTTTTGGACAGAGGTTATTCTTTCTCCGGGACTAGAAAAGACACATGGCATCTATCCACAGACATTTCCCATACACACCTAAAGCTCCCATCAGACAGGGAATTTACAGGTGAGTGCACGGAATAGTTGCCATTTCATTCAGCAAATAAGATAATCCTTTTAATATCATTGGCTACTTTGCAATAATACATGTTACTGGAAAAACTGTTGGTCTACAGTGTGGTTTATTATCATGAGACAATTGTTAAGGGTGTGTCTGCTTTGGCCAATCAGCTTCTACAGTATCTACAGGCAATGCTTTTTTAAATAAACTTGCTTTTTATTTATGTTTATTGTTATCAATTAAAATCAGTTGGGTGAGAGAGTTGGGTGCACAGATGGGCCTGAACATGAGACAGATCAAGATGGTCTTAAAGTTATAATGACACTTAGTTGCCTGAATCTAACTTAATCTCTTCTAAGGTTTCGAAAATGCATCTAAGCAATGATTACTGATGCAATCCACCTGCTGGGCTTGTGCTAGAAACTGTACAGACTCTGTGTATTGCCGATAACTACTTACTTTTTCTGTCTGCTTTTATTTTCACCAATTCACTAACAAAATATTATTTGTGATTTTTGTTAATGATGTGATTTTGGATTCTTTCAAAATCTAATGTATCACCTAACAAACTGGCAACCCAAATGACTCATTCTGCGCTCTGATTGGATAATCTACTCTTAGGCATATTAGGAATAACTCTGCTTTAAACATTTGTTCAGAAATGTCCATATGTTCATAAAAGATGCCATTACGTAGTCTCTTTTTAAAAACGTTTTTATTTACATACCAATATAAACAAATAATATCAATTTTTTCCAAATGTATTTAGTCTTTATTTGAAGGAACAATGTGCAGAGACATTAAGCTCAAAGACAGAATCTTTTGAACTTCACTGATGATGTCCTGGATGAGTGAATGATAGCACACTAAACCTGTTTAGAATACATTAAATGTGTATTTTAACATGTTCCAGTCCCCATATGAATCAATGCTGCTGTCCTTAGTTGCAGAAAACCATGGGGTAAAACGTAAAAACTTCTTGTCTCCCTCTGGTCTCTCAGTCAGGCCGTGGTAGTGGACAGGACCATGTACATCTCGGGGCAGATTGGGATGGACGTGGGCTCTGGTCAGCTGGTGGAGGGGGGAGTCCAGGCTCAAGCCAAACAGGTCAGTGCATCTGCAAAACCAACTTGTAGCTTGAGTCCTGGATCTACAGCCCGTTTGTCTGTCAGTGGGAGCGGATCCCTCTCTCAATGTGGTTCTCCCTGAGGTTTCTCACCTTTTTCCCACTGGGTTTTAGAGTTGTTCTTCGCTGATGCAGGAGGGTTTGTTAGATTCTTATAGGGTCTAACATCAGCACAGTGGTGATGATTCCTGACACTCAACATTCAACTATGGACATTTATCAACACTTATGGACCAGTACCTATGTGTTCTAAATTTTTTGTGTTTGAACTGTTGATTCTCTGATCTGTGTTGGCGATTTCAACAGTTTTGTGAAGTCCTCTGAGATTACTACTGTTGTGATTTAGGGCTATACAAGAATACATTGATTTGTATGGAACTAATTCTGGAAATATCATTATTATTGACTTTTGCTCAGGCTCTTGTAAACATGGGGGAGATCCTCAAGGCTGCGGGCTGTAGCTACAACAATGGTAAGTATTCCTTTTTTATGTATTTAAATGTAAAAAAAAAATTAAAAGCCTCAAAGTATTTTTATTATTCCAGTGGTAAAGACGACGGTGCTGCTCGCTGATATTAACGATTTCAATAATGTCAACGAAGTTTACAAGACGTGTAAGTAAATTAGTAAAGTAGCCCCTTCTGAGCACAAGACCAGTAAACAACACAGTTCAAAATATAGACTGAACATTTGTGCCTTTAACTCTTACCTAACTTTTATTTGTTCATCCACTGTTTTTGCTTATCCCAACAACAAAAGTCTAGTTTGAATAACAACATTTTGTGAAAAAATCAGACCAGAACATGCCCACTTAAGCTATTTTCTCACTTTTCTGTCTGAAAAAGTAAAAACTAGTGATAGAACTGGATTTTATTACCCAGTAAATGTTTTGTCTTTTCAAAGTTGGATACATCAGCTTTAATGCTTTTTTATTTGGTGAATTTAGATTTACTTGATCTTTAAATTAACCAGTTACTTAAACCACAATCAACCTTTAGATTTGGTCTATAGTTTAGCTGCTTAATTAGAACTTGTGCTGTGTAGCTACTATAATTTGAGACTAACCACATGGGTAGAATAACAAATGTTGGGTTGAAAAAATATCTGTACAGTTTACTATAATATTCTCAATGACTGTAACTTGAGAATTTGAAGTCTATGGTTTTCACAAGAAGAGAAATGAGGGATTGACTTGATAATGCCTCAAATGGCCACTAGGGGGAAATATTTCATCAAGGTTATCCAGCTAAACATTATTTTTTATTTCTTGGACACTATAAAACTGGGAGAGTTGGAGAGCGACTCGTACACAACAGAACAGGCAGAGTGTGACTCCTTTTTGCAGTCATGATAAAAATCTATGCAATAATTACGACAAGAAAGAACACACATGGAAAATATACTCTAATACTATCTAACCCTATCTTTATACTTACACTAGATTTGTAATGACTCAAAATGTATTCCTTCAAGATCATGTGTAAAATTCCTGAATCCTTTGAGGAGCTACTTGAAAGGGGCTGGCGAGCTACGGGTAGCTCCCGAGCCTCAGGTTGGAGACCCCTGCTATAAAACATTTAAAACAGCTTAATCTTGAGGTTAACGGTGGTATTTCTGCACTCACAAAATGGTAAATTTCTGGGGTCAAAAATATATGTATGTTTGTTTATGCCACAATACGTCATGTTTTAAGTGTGCTTTTTATCTGTAACAAACATGGAACCGTGAAAACCAGCGCACATAACATTTGAGAACAGTGAACGGTGCTTGGCTGAGTGCCGCTGTCTTAAATACCTTCACGGTGGTCCTGCTTCACCGTTTTGGGCATTTCCCCTTTGGCCCCCGGAGCCCAGGTGTAACTGAAGCTGCTGAACAGTGAGCTGTAAGTGGACACCGTTGTGCAGGTAACACAAGTCTCCGGAGCTAACGTTACGGCTCAGGCCTACGCACCCGGACTGGACTCCCCTCATGCAGAAACCCCAGGGGGAGACGGCTTTGACCCCCACAATGTCATCTATTCTGTCTGAAACTACCACTAAACTACCACCAAACTACCACCAGACTACCACTAAACTACCACCAGACTACCACTAAACTACCACTAAACTACCACCAGACTACCACTAAACTACCACTAAACTACCACCAGACTACCACTAAACTACCACTAAACTACCACTAAACTACCACTAAACTACCACTAAACTACCACCAAACTACCACCATCTCTGAGTCGCTCGTCCGCATTCGTTTATGTCTAAAATCTGACATGCATCATGTACTGTATGTAGTTGTCGCATAGTTGTCTCTCCAGTTGTGGGTCTCCAGATGTGTGTCTCCAGTTCTGTCTCTCCACTTGTGTGTCCCCAGTTGTGTGTCTCCACTTGTGTCTCCAGTTGTGTCTCCCCCCAGTTGTGTGTGTCCCCAGTTGTGTGTCTCTCCACTTTTGTGTCTCCAGTTGTGTGTCTCCAGTTCTGTCTCTTCACTTGTGTGTCTCCACTTGTGTCCCTCCAGTTGTGTCCCTCCAGTTGTGTGTCTCCAGTTGTGTCTCTCCACTTGTGTGTCCCCCCAGTTGTGGTGTCTCAGTTGTGTGTGTCTCCACTTGTGTGTGTCCCTCCAGTTGTGTCTTCAGTTGTCCCCCCAGTTGTGTGTGTGTGTCTCCACTTGTTGAGTGTGTGTCTCCACTTGTTGAGTGTGTGTCTCCACTTGTGTGTGTGTGTGTGTCCCTCTAGTTGTGTGTGTCCCCAGTTGGGTGTCTCTAGTTGTCTCTCCACTTGTGCGTCCCCACTTGTGTCTCTCCACTTGTGTGTCCCCACTTGTGTCCCCCCAGTTGCGTGTCCCTCCAGTTGTGTGTCCCTCCAGTTGCTCCAGAACCTTTTGTTTTGTAGGATTTCTAGTGCAGGGGCCCCAACATAGAAAACCCTTCAGCCAGTTGTTGCTTTATCATCTTTGAGACCGGGGTTAGGGTTATGTGATGGAAAGTGAAGGCAGCCGCTGGGTCACTACATATATTTAGAATTTTAAAAGTCCATATAAAAAGTTCCATAATGCCCTTTTAAGCCATACGTCCATTACTGATAGGAGTTGTGCCTATTGGTGTGTAAAATATTAATCCAATGAATATCCTCCAAATGCCAGCCAAAAACAGACATGTGTATTAGTGTGATGTGAGGTCAAATCAGAGTGAGGGAAAGAACCAGATTTCCCTAAACCTGCTTTTGCCTAAATTTGAATGGGAGTATCGAGAGGATCTAATGATATAAAGATATTTTTGTCAAGATTTCCCACGGCAAACTCGTGCTACTGTACAGTAAAAAATGATCCAGTAGCTGCATTGTTTTTATGATTTTATTTAAGACCCTGTGAATGATTATTTATTTTTGTCTTTTTAGTTTTCAGCAGCAACTTCCCCGCCAGAGCTGCGTATCAAGTGGCCGCTCTCCCCAGAGTAAGTCTGTTATTATCCACCTCGTTTGGGGCGGGCTTCCACTATATCGCAGCCCGTGTGATCGATTTTGTGGATTAAATAAAAAAAAACACTGTTATTTGTTTGTTTTGATTTGACAAAAAATTACCTATTTTTTTATTTTTTACAGTTTATAATGTTACTTCCTGGTTGGTCATAGAGCTCATTACTAGAGAGGTTACAAAGGCCTTGAGCTTGATAATTACACACTATTGCAATCTGTATCACTAATGTATCACTAATTTGGCAGAACCGGTCACTTTAGAACGCAACATTACTTCCTGTATGTTTGTAGACATTTTATTTCACTTTTTTTGTTCCAGGGGGTTCTGTCCCATTGACAAAAGTCGTTATCATTGTGTCTGTTTTTTCAGGGAGCAGCGGTGGAAATCGAAGCGGTTGCGGTGCTGGGACCCATCGCAGACTCCTGACTAACCGCCCAAATCACAAACAAGCTGTAGAACCATCCGCGACATTCCATTTGGCACCAGGGACCTTCTACTGACCCCCATGGACCCGCATTATGATCACTACACAATCATTGAATTATATGTTTCGCTGCTAAACGATGTCATTAAAGCATTGTATTGACTTGTATAATAATTAGCACTTCTGGGGCATTTAAATGTAGTTTTATAAGTATGGAGAAAAAGTCTTTTAATAAATGCTTTTGTTAACCGCTTGAAAAAGAGTGTATCTGTTGATATATTTATAAAAGTGTCATCATAATTTGTTAAAGCTTGATGGTGTCAGATCTGCGAGGCTAAGTGGGGCAGGGTCTGGTCAGTACTGTGATGGGAGACTGCTGTGATACCAGGTGCCACAGTGAGCAGTGACTGATGCTTACATTATGCCCTGAGGCAAGGCACTTTGTTGCGTGAATGATTGGAGGTCCAATTGTGGCCCTGGCTGTGAAGTATCTTAACCCATCATCGATAGTGAATAAATGGATTATAAGCTGTGATTTTTCATTAGGACATTCTTTCGAAAGGGATTCTTAAGGAGAGTTTACCCCTATAACCCTAACCCCCCCCCCAAGGTGAGCCAGTGTTCACCAGTTGGGGATAACATGCTTCAGCTGTGGGATGTGAAGCAACCAAGAGTGTTGAAGTCATTTTGGTGGTTTGACTTATTTATTTATTTATTTATTGTGGATGGCCCCTTGAGATGAATCATCTCTTTTTCGAGGGGGTCCGGTTATAAAACAAAGTTACATACATGACCACAAAGACAGACAAGACAATAAGCCCATACAGTACATAAAGACAAAGAAAAAAAAGAAAAATAATAATAACAATAATAAAAAAAATAAAAATAAAACACATCCACAAAGGAAGTACATTTGCTGTTTTTGCTCATAGTGAACTCTGGTTTACTGTGGGAGTCTATGAGTTTCTCCTGACTTAAAGGTAGATGGTGAACAATGCCTTTTGTCCACCAGTTCTTTCTTTGTTTTCCAAATTTCAGGAAAAAACCACCCTCCACTTTTTGAGCAAATTTCTCTGGTCTTATTTGATGAGCAAGTATCACCAGAATGACTGACAATTGGGAGGACCAATAGTCTTGATGATCCACCCGGAAGTAGAAAATACTGTTTGTTGAATAAAAATAAAGACAATTCGGTTTCTCTTTCAATGTTAATTTAATATCTTATTATTACTGAAAATGACAGTTTTTCACATTCATTTGTGATACATGGAAATTTTAAAATATATATATTTTCATAATAAAGGAAGTAACTAGCTTTTCATACATATTCTTTGAATCAAATCAAAGCCAGCTTCTAGAAAATAGTATTACAATTCCATGAAAACATTTGGCCTTGGGTTTCAAGCTCAAAGATTAAGAACCCTACAATGTGTTTTATCTACACAGGAAATAAATATAAGAACTACGTCTGAAGGAGTAGCTGCTTTACAGTAAGTGCAGTTGTATGTACATGAGACCCAGTGGAGAGAAGGCACGGTGATGTCTGACGACCCTGAAGTTTCTGCGGATCTGCATCTTGGCAACAAAGCTTTGACTTTTCCACACACTCGCACACACACACATGCCCAGCCACGCTAGACAAACACACAACCAGTCACGCAATAGGAAAACCATTCATCTGTGCGGCGCGGCGTCACTCGCTGGGAGCTGTGAGAAAACACATTTTAGTCTTTGTGTGAGAAAAGATGGGTTTGTGTTCCTTCTGTACTTGTTTACCTGGTGTCTCCTCCGTGCTGGGCTCCGCCGCTGCTGGTTCTGGAGCTGCAAAGTTACAAAGAATTATGACACAACCACTATTCTTATTATCATCATCATTATTATTATAGAGATTTAAATATTTTGTGTTTGTTGAGCAAATATTGTTAGTGTTTTCTATTCTCGCACTATCCTTTTGGGTCGCTCTGACTGACCCATGGCTCATTCAGGTCGAGAACAAGCTAGGGCAGGCGTGTCTAAACTTTTTAGTAAGAGGGCCATTTTTGTTCACCAAACTAGTCCAGGGGCCGACATCAAGGACTGAAAAACTGTCTTGACTGGCATTGGGCTGTTCTGAGCTTTAAAATGATTTATAACAGAGCTGAAGTTGGCTGAATGACAAATGTTTACCACCTCACCAGCTACATTAGCATCATTAACGTCAGTGTGCAAATCAAGTCAACAACATACTGGGCTTTATAACAAGGTCTATAGTGGCTGAACTGAAGTTGGATGAATGACACAGTGAACTTGTGTTTATGATCTCAAACACTACTTTGGGTCAGCAAGGCAGAGGGCCACATAAAATGACACTGAGGGCTGCATTTGGCCCCCGGGCCTGAGTTTGGACATGCCTGAGCTGGGGTCAGTCATTGTTTAGGGCATTGTTTAATCACTGCTTTCCTCTCCTTGTGAAATAAATAATCAATGGCATTGATTGGGTTAAGGCAAGTTGCAAATTTCTACAAACAAGTAGGAAAAAGAGAAACTGTTCCACTTGATTTGAGTCAAGTATTTCCTGGTCTGGTTATTTGTCAGAGAAATATAATGAATTTTATTGTTTATAATAAATCCTGAACAGACTATATTTTTTGCCTTTAACATGTTGCACACTTCTTTCTTTTGCACAAATCTGAGTGATACTGTCTGTGCCAAATGTGACATGTAAAATTCTTCTGTGTGAGATCAGTAAAGTCTATCTTATCTTATCTGAAAGTGATCAAATACAAATTAATTATGTAGATATTGACTAAAAGGAAGCTGTGAGTTCAAATACCACATTTTAAATCAATACAGAGTGGCTTGTTTGATTCAAAGGAACTAAAACACTCATATTAAAATGTGTCTGTGTTTTTTTCAATGCAATGAAAATAATAAAAAACAAACAAATGTTCATATAGTGTTTTTTGTGATCTGCTTGAAAAGACCGGGACCTCGAACCCTTGCCTCACAGACATTCAGCTGCCCATCATATGTTTACATCCTGTGGTCTTAAACCGGCGATTACACATTACAGACTCTGCGCCCTCAGTGTTTTGCATGAGGCAAAGGCAAATCGTGCCTCTCTCCATCTGCCGACTGGATTTGAACATATTTGCATCGAGATTCCATAAATGATGTTGTAAAGGTTACTCAGCCCTACAGTCACACAACTGCATCATGCAATTATTATGAAACTATTCTCATTAATTCTCTTTTGTGTTGAGGAAGACAGAAACAAAAACATCTCCTAAAAGCTTTAACGTTTTTACGGTAATTCTAATGTCAGAATGCATTGCTCATAGATACATTTGAGAAATAAATATATGGAGATGGCATTTCCACTAAAGTGTGTGGGCTATTTCCTTTAGGATGATTAACCAAATACGCAATACTTTATTTGAATCAACAAGCTCTACAATTGTGGCTATAGGTTTGAATTAAGTTTGCAATTAATATTCATTTGAGTAAAAATGATCGGAACAAGCCCAGTTTTCACATTGTCACCAGTTTTTGTATTTGTTTTTTGTATACAAAAAAAAAGGCCGCAAAACATACTGTCTGTGGGGGAAGAACGGTGTAACCCCAAAGTTTAAGTTCTACTAACATTATTTCAATATATGGAACATGTTTTCTACAGCAGTTAATGACACACCAGGCCTTATAGAAAGTTTCATTAATATAAAGTATACATAAAAAGAGAAGATTGTTGACATTATTAAAGTTACGTCCACATTGTCTATGTCACATTAGTTGTAATACGCTGTGTCTCTTTACATTTGACCTAGTTCCTGGATGTGTAACGTATAAACTGATTCCTGTGTGGGGTGAGTTCATTATTAGCCTGCTGTTGTTGGTTACCTCCTGGTTACTCTTCTCCAATGGGACCGTGTGTTTGTAGAGATATTACGGGACGCACAATGTACGTGTAAATCCTAAAGTGAGACCTGAACAACAGGTCACGAGTGGATGCCAAATATTGAAATATGTCCCTTGACTGAAAAAAAAGAAAAAAAAGGTGACACTGTGGTTCAGAGACATCACAGCCAAAGATAGGAGAGCTCTAAACAAGGTGCTAAGCTCTGCAAAGTGGACTGTAGGTTGTAAGATGCCTGTTCTGGAGGCTCTTTGTGAATCCAGACTTTTAAACTTAAAATCAATGACTCTTCTTGCCTGGTAAAGCCATGTTCCAGCTTCTTCACTCGAGCAGAAGAAACCGGCCGCTCGGATACAAGACATCTCGCTATGCAAACAACTTCTTTCCACAAGCTGTTAGGTGTCTGAACAAAGCACTTTAATTGTTGTTTTCACACCTTGTATGGGTTTTTGTTGTTATATTACTTTGTATTGTGCTGTTTATTCTGTTGGTGCACACAGAGTACCTTTCTCTGCAAATGTATCCCAATGTGTTTTTTATACTGCACATGGCAAATGAAATGAATCTGAATCTGAATCTAGTCAAATAATGAAACGCTGCCACATACTTCCTGCACTGTTAAGGAATGCTCATAATTACCATGGTGATAGTAACATTGTTGTCATAGTAGCGATAAATACTGAGCAGTGATAGATGCGAATGTCCACAAGCTGTAGTGTAGACCTTTATCCTTGCAGCTGATGAACTATGTCTGTCTAAGATGTGTGGATTGGATAATACGATTACGGATTTGATGTAAATGTCTATTGTGTGTTTTGTCTGCAGAGGCTACTGAAGGTCACACTAATCTAAATAAAGTATATTTCCATCCATCTACCTGAATGATTCCAAGGAACGCAAATGACAAATACCATGATTCACGGAAAATGGAACAAAAACAATCATGCAAATATATTCATCATGTGGTGTGACCAGGACAGAAAACAAAAACATGTTTCGGAGTGGAAGTAACATGGACACATTTAAACTACTTTAAACACATTGAATTTTGAATTCATTGGTGAAAAAGATTGTTTGCTTAATATTTAATTTGAAAAAGAAAGCCATTGTTTTGTCTAAATGCAACATAAGAAATGGGATTAGGATGGGACTATGAGGTGAGAATTGTGTGGCTCACTTCCCATACCTTTTTACCATAATAAATAACATTACTGGCTGAATAAATGATAAATGTACAGTGTTTTTTTATGCAACATATTGTTATTGTCTTCAAAATGTCACCTTTCAACATAATCCATGCTTCCACCCCCGAGCCTGTTAAAGGGCTACAGATGGAAATGGTGCTAAATCTGGGGCCTAAATCTCTTTAATGCAGTTGTGTTTAAATTAATAAATTAAACTGTATCATGTATTGTCACCTGGTTCAGGGGCTGGTTCTTCTGAGGGGGGGGCTGTCATGGTTTCGGGTGCTGCGCTGCCCTCTGCTGGTGGGTCTGTGGGCGCTGGGGCTGCCTCTGCATCTGGAGGGGGGCTGGCCGCAGGTTGGGACTCCTGTTGGGCTGGTGGGGTTTCCTCTGCGGCTGGGGCTGCGGCTGGGGCAGGTGCGGCTGGGGCAGGTGCGGCTGGGGCAGGTGCGGCCTCCGGGGGTTTAGTCTCCTCAACCACGGTTTGGTCGGGGAGAGTCACACTGTCCTCTGCCACGTTTCCGTTCTCATTGGCAGCTCCTGGGGGCAAAGACAGTGAACAATTGGAGCTGCATTGACACTGATGGTTATGAGCTTTGGGGAATACAAGCAGAGAGAGTGCTCCCATAGATATAGAGTAAGGTACTCAGACACACAGGAGTACACCCACTGCTCCTCCACATTGAGAAGAGACATTTGAGGAGTGTTCCAGGCCTGTCCCACTGTCCCACAGGGAGGAGACCCGGAGAATAACCAGGACCCCCTGGAGAGATTGTCTCTCAGCGGCCTGGAAACGCCTCAGGATTCCCCTGGATGAGCTGGAGGATGTGTGGAAAAGGGAAGTATGGGCGTCTCTGGGATGTGGGAGGCAGTAGTCTTTACAATTTGCAATCAGATAAAGTGGAAGAAAACATCAACATTGTTTACATTTTTCTTCCTCTAACACTTCTACCATAGAGAGTATGGCTTCCACCTATTGTTAGGTGTTTCTCAAATGCACACAGTGGGACACCAAATAGTTGTCAGTACCTGGAGAGTCACTCCTCAAACCAATGCTGTCAAACATTAGCGTGTCTTGATGCATTGTCAAGTTTACTTTAACAAAACCCTAACAGAATGACACACACATACTTCTTTTTGTCAAATGTCTTTTGACAATTTTTCAGTTTTTCCTCACACAATGGGCCAGAAGGATTTTGTCTGTATGATCAGTCAATATCTCCAGAAAAAGTATGATTGACTATAATTATAAATCCATTTGAAGAGGTCCAATGACGATCACAGTTTGTGGCGTGTGCACTTAGCTCTGCGCTGTATGACTCAGAGTCAGGACTAAGTGTTTTATTTCACTGTTACCAATGATGAAGCCGTTCTTCAGGTAACACACTTTCTCCACAGATCCACTCTCATAACATTACACATCACAGAGCCACACGCAGGACGAGAATAAACAAGAACTGTGGACTTTTGAGCTGGCTAACTCCATCTGGCAAATGATAAAGGAAAGATAAGTGTATTGGCAGACAAATGAATGGCGTCATGCATGGCCCAATTATTAGTCATTTTCTCAAGAAACTTCTAATCTATGTAAAAAACTTCTCACTTCTAATCATTTCTGAATGGAGTTTGCATGTTCTTCAACCAAAAAACGCAATGTGTAATACTTTGATTTAAAAATGAAAAGGCTTGAGATTGCAACAGTAGCTCAGTTGGTAGAGCATTGGCCTTTGAGCTTGAAGGTCGTGGGTTCAAGCCCACCTCAAGACCTACTTCACGGCTCCCACTGATGACTGCTGTCGTTGTGTCCTCGGGCAAGACACTAAACCCCACTTTGCCTGAAGCCCCCACTGAAAGATCTCAGCTCCTGTGGACTCACCACCTGCAGGAGGACCAGTGAGGGGCTGGTGCTCTGTGACTGGGTGCAGCTCTGACTGTCACCCCCCCGACCCAGAAATGGATTAAGGGGAAGAAAATGGATGGATGGAAGGCTTGAGATTAGGCTGTCAGACCGGTTTGGTTTTATTTATGTTAACAAAATGTGATAATTTGGTCAAAATACCACCTTTCTGCAATAAAAATGGATAGCTTTAAATGCAGCCTACAGAAAGTTTCAGGCCCTTGACCAGCTCTCAAATGTGTCCCCCTCTTAAACTGTGACTTTGAGCCCCCTGCCCTAAAGCACAGAACTACTGGTTTTGTGTATACACTGCACAATTGTTAAAGTTGAGTTCGAATATCGCTCTGAGAAGGTTTTGCATAACATCATATATCATATAACAACTATCATATATCACGTATATCCTATTTACTAGTCACATACATCTAATATGTCATGATACGTTCTGTGAAACTATAGCGATGATACTTTTATGAAGACACAATAAATGAAAATCCCTTCAAAAGTATTTTGCTTGCTTCTTGGAAATGGATGTACCAGGTAAATAAGCTCTTTCAATATGCAAACTTTAAGAAAACATCCCTTATTTCCATCCGTCCTCCAATTCCAAGACGGGACCCTTTCATCACATTATGAGTGACATGTTTGCTTAATCAAAATATGAGCCATATACAGATACTGCCAATGAACAATATTAATGTTGATTAAAATAATGAAGTTTAAATACATCTCACATTTTCCATTAATTTTATGAAACTCCAGAAATAACTTTACCTTTTTCCTATAATCATAGATAGACAGTTAGCTGCATCCAACTATTATTTATGTAAATTTTTGTACTTTTTTGCACTAATTTTGTTGCTGATTTCCCTCTTTGTTTTAGTGCAGGGGTCTCCAACCTGTAGCTCAGGAGCCACCAGTCGCTCGCCACCCCCTTCCAGGTAAATAATAATGACTGTACCCAATATCAGGCTTGTTCACGCCAATATATCACCAATTTTTTTCCCAGGGCCGCTTAAAGGACACCTGTTTTAGGGTTTCCAAATGAATAGTTGAAACAAATATGACACTTACAGCTCAATCAAATACAGCTCAACTAAGAGGGACGTGGTGGAGGCCATGGTGAGGATTATTATAAGAATGTTAATGGAATTAATCTGAATTTTCATTATTGCAAAGACTGCAGTTACTCCCACAGTGACACTCCTGTAGATAATGTCCTCTATCTATGAATCATATTTGTTCCTGAAGTCAATGAAATTCTAATTAACACACTCAAATGTATTATTAAAGTAGAAATGTCTTTACAAAGTGTATATTTAATGAGACTGTATCTTATCTTATTGGTGTATTTTTCACCCACACCCGCTCCAGAGACCACATCACCCCCTTCCTCAAACAACTCCATTGGCTCCCTGTTTCAGACCGGATCCAATACAAGGTCCTACTCCTCACCTACGAGTCCCTCCATAACCTACCCCTTAATCTCTCACTCTCCTCAGGACTAAACACCGCACCTTGGGGGACCGAGCCTTCGCCGCAGCCGCCCCACTCTCTGGAACTCAGCCCCACAACCATCCGAGACTCGGACTCACTACAGAACATAAAATCACTTCTCAAAATCCACCTGTTTCAGCCTTTCCTTAAACTTCAATGTTTACTTTATATGTTTTGTAAAGCGTCTTTGAGCGTCAAAAAAAATAAAAATGCTATATAAGTTTGATGTACTATTATTATTTATTCATTTATGTAAAAGGATTTGTTCCAAGAATCTTTCAACCTTGTCCAAAATGTGTTTGTGTTCTAATCAATGTGATCAATTTGATTAGTCTTGTAAATGTACTTTGTACTATGGAACATTATAACAACTCCATTTTGTTGACAAATTTGACCTGAACTGAAGCCGCTGGAGGACATTGTGATAGATTACATTTCAAAGATGTAATTTGATGTCATTCATGTTTTGAAATCTTGAGTTTGTGATTATTCAATTACTAAAATAGTTGACGATGAAATGTAAAACTCATTGATTAATTCTACAGCCCTAATATGAACACACGACTGCGCAGAGAGACATGTGTATTCACTTCAGAAATGACAAGCAACATTTGGATTTCAGTGGTTCAGGGAACAAACAGACAGAGATGGAGGAGCCTCGTTCAAAGTCACATCAGTCCGTCTGACCAATGCAAACAATACTTACTGCACCACAACCTGTCTTTTCTGACCCACTACAACAAAGCAGCGTCCAAAGTGGCTTCTCCATTTCCTACTGAAACTATAGCCGGTCATCAAAGCTGCTGTGTGTGCTCTACTGTCCTTATCAGAGGGACACAGCCAAAAACACTGTTAATCAACAGCAATAAACTTTCCCATTGGGACACCCAAGCTGACAGGCACTTCAGATATCACCTGTACACTGCATTTGCATTTACTCAGTGTTTTTCTTATCAGGACTTGGGTGATGGTAAATGGATGAGGATATTCTATACGGAGCAGGCAATGACACCAGTTCAACATGAGCCCCAAAACTATGTTTAGATCCTACTAGACTCAAATAAAACAATATAACACTAGGCATGATTATGTGTATATGTTTGTCTTTGCTTAGTAACAGTGACAGAATGCACCTTGGTATTTGATATTTCCAATACATGAGCAAAAACATGAGATAAGCTGAGTTTGCCATATTGTGTGTTATGTGCCAAATTAATACATACGTTCAATTGTGTGTCTTATATTTTTTTTAAATTAATCTTGAAGCAATTACAACTTCAGAAAATGTTTTTAAAAAAAATAGCTTGGACAAACCTGTGGTGCTGGCCCCATTACCCTCCTCCCGTTTGCTGCCTGGTCGAGCTGGGTCCACAGTGGAAGTTTGTGAGCTTGTGGAGCACCCCATCGCGTCCAGTGCACACAAGAGGTCTGCGTGTCCAACTTCAGGCTCTGTGTTGATGCTGCAGATGCCCTGGTGACGTCGCTCATAGAATCTTGTCTCTCAATGGCCCGTCCTGTCACATTCACAGTCAAATTCCTTTAGTCCGCCTGTGCGTAATGGCGCATGGTGCAGACTCCTCCACTGCCTGCGAGCCGCGGCTGCAGGTGGAAAATGCAGTTAAAAGTGCTCTGTTTATTGTGGCTCAGTTTGAGGCGCGTAAATGGAGGATGTGCAGGTACAGAAATGCATTATTTAGACAGAGCGCACACAGGTCTTTGGGGCGGGGCAGTTTGTGGAGTGCCATAACTACATGCCGTTGTTCCCTTGAGCAAATGCATCATGTTGTTTTCAAAATATTACCACAGAATAAATGAAATGGTTAATATGACATTTAAGCTGCAAACGGAGAGAGATTTTACCCAGCATTTTTGTTTAGTCTGAAATGTCAAGAATAATTGTTTCTTCTTTGTTTTAAACATTTGTGGTACATTTTTTATTCAACATTTAAGTTAGGATTTTAAACTTTTAAACTTTTTAGTATTGGTAGAATGTGTATTTTTTGTCGTGGTATAATGTGTATATTTGGTCTTACTATATCGTCTATTGTCTATAGTAGTAATATTTTAATATTGTTTAGACTTTGGCAGGAGTGTTTGCACATTTATTTTGTATGTATTTTATGTTAGCCATGTAATCTGTTCAGACCAAAAGGCACCATTCATAACTTGGCAAGCTACTATTTAAATTAGAAATGTCTTAAATTCTTACAAAAAAATATATCTTAAATACGTGATATTCTCAATATTCTTGAATCTCGGTGTTTTTTTGTTTTTTCAAATCAACTTTGAGGAGTGTGCGCAGTAGACTTCTGCGCAGCCACAGCCTCAGAAACACGCGCACTGCATCACGGTACTTCCTTTCACTCCGAGGCCATATTGGAGTTAACTCACAGTAAGCGCTGCTCTCACCATTTATGTCAAAAATCACATTTCTAAAGCCCCTGAAGGCGTCTCTTCACTAACACTAACTCGCCCTGTTTCTCGCTGTCCGCAGGTTTGGCCGTAAAGGACTAAACTCACAAAATGGTGGCCGCAAAGAAGACGGTAAGATCACACGCTGCCGTGGGCTTCACGTGGAGCCTGGTCTGAGCCGCGGCCTGTAGCTGTGGCTGTGTTTGGGTCACACACACGTATTTCTTTGCCCATATGGAGTGTGGACACATGTCTTTTAGTAGCTGGACTGTAATCTGACGAAATAATAGGTTTGCGTTCGCCGTAAAACGTCAAAATGCATGCTGTTTACGTTGTAGGGACCCGGGAGTTAACGTCACGTCTTATGCTAATGCTAAGCTAATCACTGTTTGCACTTTATGATTAATAATATACATGGGTAACCTTCCCTTGTACGTTCTGAATTGCGTGTATTGTACAAACATTATCAAGCCGTTATTGTCAGTGTTCAATATCGCAAAGGAATGCTGCAGTGTTAAAATGGAGATCTAACTATAGATGGAAACATTAAAGATGACTAATCAGGATTGAGATTATAATTAATTGAAATGGGTTGGTGTGAATGACCTCCACGGATGCTCTCACTAAAGTTCCTAAAGACTATTTTGTGCAGAATCCAAACAATTGGGCTGAAATAGCATAAGAATTCATTGGAAAACCAAAAGTGACCGGAGCTTGAGTTGTCATTTTACTGAAATCTATTGTTTACTTTAGAAAAAGTCCCTGGAGTCCATCAACTCCCGGCTCCAGCTGGTGATGAAGAGTGGCAAGTATGTCCTGGGATACAAGCAGTCTCAGAAGATGATCCGCCAGGGCAAAGCCAAGCTGGTCATCCTGGCCAACAACTGTCCGGCTCTCAGGTAAGATGTAGCCATTTTTGAAGTTCTCAGCTTTTCTCTCAAGGAAATTCACAATTAGCCTTCATAGAATGCTACCATACATGATCCAGGTCGAAGACTGTATTTTGGGAAATCTGAAATGGAGAAATACAAAATATAGGTCTCCTTGTATTGGATTTATCCTCTTAGCACTTTTTTACTAAAACGGGGGGAATAAAATTTAAAATTGATTTCCTAAAGATTTGTGTACTGGCTGAAAACTCAAACCATGGATAGTACCATTGTTGTAAAGTAGATGGTCTTGTTTTTCTTATCACCTATTGAAATATTTGACCTATTTTAAAATTATTTTTCATCTGTTTTGCAGGAAATCTGAGATTGAGTATTACGCCATGTTGGCAAAGACTGGTGTGCACCACTACAGCGGCAACAACATTGAGCTGGGCACAGCCTGTGGAAAGTACTACAGGGTCTGCACGCTGGCCATCATTGATCCCGGTGAGTGCCTTTGTATTTATTTTTATTTTTTATACTATTGATTTGTCAGCGAATGTTTGCGCCTGTGAGACCATGAACTGTGGTTCTGCAGGACAAGTGGTTCGCTAGATAAACGCCCTCTGGACTAGACAATTGAATGTTTGTTTATAAAAGTCCAGTTGGTCACACTTAATTTAACTGTTTGAAGAAAGTCTTTGATTCATTATGCTAAAATCTTTTCATTTTCCATTTTAGGCGATTCAGACATCATCAGGAGCATGCCCGACCAGCAGCCACAGCCCCAGTAAAGCCTCCCCACGCCCCGTTGTTATAAATAAAAGTCGGTGTTAACAGTTTTTGTCATGCATTTTCTTTTACTGTCCACCAGAGGGCAGCAGTGACTTGGTATACTTACATGTTACTGTATTATCTCCAGCGTTAGAGGTCCATTACTTAAGTTTGAAATTGGAAACGGGAGATCTTGAAGCTACATTCTCACTTGCATAAAGTGTGTAACCACTGGTCCAGTTGAGTGTAATGGAGAAAGGAGCATGTCCTTTCTGCAGTATTAAAGGCTTTACACAAGCACTATTTACTGCTTCATAACTGAAGTCCCTGAAAGCTCGTCATGCTTCACATAACGTACCTTGACTTTAACAACATAGCAAATTTTATATTTAATTTATGGCCTCTAACATGTGCTTTGATTTCTGCATGGGTTTTTCCACGGAATAATTGATCACGAGCTCTCAAGGGTGAACATTAGAACATGGATTTGTTGAGGTCAAAGCATAGACACAGCTGGTGGGAGGAGTTTAGTTGCGTAGGTGGATTAAGTAGATTAGATTTTTCTGTAGCGGCTGGCACTGAACACGGGTCCAGTCCACCTCTGAAAACGTATTTACCAAAAATATTTTGTACAGAATACAAAATCTAAGATGGTAACATTATCCAAAGTGGAACAAATGTTTTTACAAAGCTTGATTTTTACCAGAACCCAGTTTCATCCTTGTTTCCCTCATACTAAACTATCCTGGCCCATTTTGGTGCATAGTTAATCCGTCTGTTTTTTTTCTGATTTCCTGTTAGACTTAACTCGACCTTCCTGAAACTGCACGTGCAGCAACTGAGGGACTACTTGTCTAACAGTTGGAATAATCAAATTTACTCATGTGAACAAACGCGGCTATAAATAGAGAGGGGACAGACTTCTGCCAGATATTCAATAATCCATACATTTACAACATGTGCCGCCGTGTCATTGTGCGTCATCAGTATCCAGTGCATGAGCAAGCAAAAAATTGTTCCACTGGTTTTAGTAAGTAAGTAGTAATGTTTATTTATATAGCGTATTTTACGGACCAAGGTCACCCAAATCACTTTACAATGTTCAGAGTTCAGATATTGCTCCAATCATTCCACACACGGTGATGACGATAGCAAGTTGCCAAATACACTGGACCATCAGCCCCCAATCAACACCATCCATTCACTCTCTCACCTATTGTACATGTTTTTAATGGTAGGGGAAACCAGAGCACCTGGAGGAAACCTACGCAGACACGGGTAGAACATGCAAACTCCACTCAGAAAGGCCCTGTTCCGACCGGGATTCGAACCCAGGACCTTCTTGCAGAGAAGCGAGAGTGCTATCCACTCAGCCGCTGTGCCACCCTCACCTAGTTATTCATACATGAGAAATACTGTGCCTCAAGCCTTTCACATAGTCGATATTTTAAGAGCTTGAAAAATGCTGAGCTCTATGTGAAATCAAACCAAAGCTAAATAAAATCTGAATAATAGTAAAGTTTATAAGTAAAGAACACAATAATGCTCAATGGAATACATGGGTTTGATTGTTTCCCGCTGCCATGAAGGGTAATCAGTTGAATTTTATAAATAGCCTAATGTGAGAGTAAATTTGAGAATGTTTTGCAAATACTGACACCATGATGGTACTACTTAATTTTCTTTCATTCACACTAGTTTATCTTAACACTGTGAGTGGCTTTGTCAAATCAAACATACATGAAATATAGGCCACTGTATATTGCACTGAAAAGGCCTTCAAAATAGAAACACATTTACCGGTAGTAATGGAACATGACCTCCCATTTGCCGTGCCGTACACACTATCTAGGTCATTTTTCTGCTGATCAGATGTAATATCTCATCTGTTGAACATTTCAGATTTGGGACTTTCAGCCTGATTGAATTGACCCACATTTCATAATTTATCTTTGTTTTTTTATGGCTTGTGTCCAGCGCTGGAAAAGTAGGTGAACTCGTCTGCCTTTCTGAACGTGGATCCTACAGGAGATGCCAGGGTCCAGTTTAAATCCTTGCTGATCTGCCAGTCTGTTTATCCCTGTGCGGCCAGAGGAGACATGCTGAGTCTGCGGGCTGGAGGTCACCCACATGAAACACTGCGGCACGTTTTATAGGCCGCTGTCTCTGAGAATTCAATCCAATCTTTCCCGCTGAATCATTGCTTTTCAGAATTTTAATAAAAAACACTTATTGAGGTCAGGTGGAAAAAATGAATCAGATAAGGCCTGTATGAGAAACATATCACTCTTTGACAGAGGTGGAAGAAGAATGTATCTGTATTAGAATCTACTCAAATTGATTTAATTATGAATAGCTAAACGGGCGGCACGGTGGCTGAGTGGATAGCACTTTCGCCTCTCAGCAAGAAGGTCCTGGGTTCGAATCCCGGTTGGACCAGGGCCTTTCTGAGTGGAGTTTGCATCTTCCCCCTATGTCTGCGTAGGTTTCCTCCAGGTGCTCCGGTTTCCCCTACCACTAAAAATATGTACAATAGATCTGTGCCTCCTGTACTGGCACCCCCAATCCCAAAAAATCACAATTGCTAACCGCTTTGAGACTCTGATGTGCAGTGAAAAGGTGGTATATAAATAAAGATTACTTACTACTACTACTAAACCCTCCTGCATTAGTAAAAACCTCAAAAACCCAGTGGGAGAAAAGAGAAACCTCAGTAGACCCACAGAGAGAGAGGGATTGACTTCCTATGGACCCACCGGCTTTAGATCCAGGACTGAAAAAGTTGAAAACATTATTTAAAGCATTGAATGAAGTAGTTTTGATACAACAGAAAGTCACGAATACATTTTTTTCTACTGTTTTGTGTGATTTGATATTATCCACTGTGACTGTTCCACCTGCACTGCAACGTGTGTGAAAAGTGTTTTGCTCAAGGCCACAGCAGCATCCACTCTTTGTCTATTTACAGGGGAACAAAAAACACAAAGCAATTTCATTTATTTGATTTTTATTTGTAAGATTTTGTTTATGGAAGAAGCTCTTGCAAACCCAACAGCATTTTCTCAGCGGTGGTGATTGTAATTCTTAAAAGCGTCAGCCTCCTCTCCCCGCCGCCCAGGGCCCTGTCCACGTTCACTGAGCCGGAAGTTTCTAACAGCAGTACGCAGTTTGGCCTGTTACCCAAATAGGCAAATTTTGCTCTTACAGCTGATTTCTGCAGGAATTGGCTCGGACTGATCATAAAGTGCAGTTTTGTTGGATTTGCAGAAGCCTAAATTCACAATGACAAGGGTACAATATCCACGAACACATTAGTATCCCATGGGAAAGGAATCATTATAATATTTATCACACTATTTTTTGCATAGAGAGAATACCATTATACATACGATAAATGGTTACATCTACCACTTAGGGCTGCACAATATTGCACTTTGACTTTTGCTGTAAATATGACATTAAAGTCCTACAAAGTCACAAATTCTTTTCTCAAATTGTTGGATTTCATGTGATCAGTGATTTAGCCCATTTTCACCGGGGTAAAAAATGAAATCGTAAACATAAAAAATACACACATTTCACAGCTATTTCTAAATGTTCCACTTTCTCCATATTGTGCAGCCGTAGTTCAGCATTATCTAGCCCAGCGTTACTGGCCTGTCCACGCCTCGGCAAAAAGCAGACTTTGGACTACTCAGCATCCATGGTGCTGAGCTCAAGCAATGGAAAACCAAGGTGTTTTTTTTTTTTTAGCATAGACAGGAATAATGCATCATGACATCAAGAAAAAAAACTACTTCAACTACTAGCCTCAAGCAGCAGCATATCACTCTGTCTTTTGTAGGAAAATGCCCTCAGTCCAGCTAAGTCAAACAAAAGAAAACCAGACAGTCCACACTGCATCAATGCCATTGGGAGACAAGACAAAAACACACGAAAACCTCTTAAATTTGGGGTATTTTGAAACGCACAATTTGTAACAGATGCTTAAGAGCTCAATTACTTGAAGGATCTCCGGGAAGTGGGAGTTTGTCTGGGAGACGATTACAACACGACACACAACAGATTTAATACAAAAGGATTACAGGCTCCTATTGGTCAGGACGTTTTCTCAGGAGACGTAACAAAGCCATGAACCACTATCTTTTACCATTCACCATTCCAAGTCGACAGTAAACCGTAATGTTATTCAGATTTGTGAAAACTATGTGGTCGGTAATTTCTCTTCAATTCAAATCATAAATATTGACTTGTATATATTCGTTTCAATGTAAATGCGTTGCCACACCCCTTATTTTTAACGTGACACCAATACACCGCATTAACACTTCATTATTATCATCCTTTTCACTGTTATACAAAAGTTGTACAAAAATACCCCAACATTACATTCAATTAAGGAATTTCTCAAAATCTGAAAAAAGTGCTCTCACAGAACCAGTCAGTATTCTCATGTTCTCTCATGCGCACGCGTTTAGGTAGTCTATCCATGAAGACGACAAGGATTCACAGTATCAGGAGTTGCTGGAACAGTCTTGGCCCTTTTTTCGGTCGGAGAAAAGAGAGATTTTTTTTGTCTTTGCAAAGTCAGTCTCCCACAACAACCAGGAAATGTTGTGAGATTTCAAAGTTTAAGATAAGAGAGGGTTAAGATTTGTAGCTGGGACCTCCTCTGGACATGTCATGTTGTTGGGAATCAAACATGAACCATTTGGAGTGGGTGTCCAAGGCAGAGGGGGGAGTTTGGGGGTAATAGGGGGGAGGTGGAGGAGGGGGGAGGTGCAGAGGACCAGCCGCGGTGAAGAACGTGGAGCTCATGCCTCCATATACTGGGGCGGGGGCTCCTTGGGCGGTAGGGCAATAGCCTCCTCGTAGGGGGGTAGCAGCACCTGTAAGAGAAGGCAACAAATAAGCCGGACGTACAAGTGGTTTCAACACAGCACATTCGCTATTTACATTACAATATATATTCCCAAAAAGGCTGGAAACCAAAACGGCAGAAGACGAAATTAAATATGGAAACCCTCATTCATACAAGCAGCAGTCCAGGAACATTGCTGGGTTGCCATGTTCACACAGAAATGAGGAATGCCATAGCGATTAAAAAAACAAACATATCTTTAAAATGGGTAAAAATATTCTTATAAATTGAATCTGAAATCAATTTAAATGTTGCATAAAATTAGCATCACAAGCCTTCCTTGTTTTTCTGTTTTTCACGTTTTTAAAGCAGAACTTCATTATTTTTGGTACATACACTGCAGCCATTATAATCCACAACAATGATTCATATTCATTTTCCGTTTCTGTTACGTCCACGTGTCTCCGAGGAGAGGATACGGCTTGCCTGGAATGTTCCACAGAATGGCATTAAATTGACCCATCTCCATGGAAACAAGAGGCTCAAAACAAGAATATCTTTTTTTTTATATATAAAAGCAACATTGATAGTTTTATGCCCATCTGTGGAACATACAGACACTACAATAATATTATTTACTGACATTGGGCACTTTTAAACACTCAAGAAGCATCGTAGAACACTCGTCCGGACTCCTAGTTTTTCCATCTCTGTGAATAGAAGCGGTTTTGATAGATTTTCTGTATTTGCAATTAAATTGGTTTCATGTTGGTTCAAAAATAGACTGTAATTGTGCAAAACTGCATCTGAAAAGACCTTACAAACACTCGCATTGTCCTTTACTCCTGCTATAGGCATGACCGGCAACGAGCTCGGCACACACACCACACAGACTCCAAATGGCGTTATAAAACCAGCACTCATTCAGTACGAGAGAGAGAGAACGAGAGAAAGAAAGAGAGGGAGAATATGCTGCGAGCAAACAAATAGTGAAACGGTCAGGGAGGCCCGGCGAGCACATCACAACTAGGATTTGAAACAGAGCGGACACAAGCAGACAATTATGTAACTAACTTTGTCCGGAAAGTGTATGTGTATATTCAAAGAAGAGAGAGTCTATGGGGAGAGAGAGAGAGAGAGAGAGAGAGAGGACGGAGCGAAACTGCTGTGCATTTTAATAGCATTTATATAAAAGCAACAACAGATAAGCAGCTGGGTACTTGATGTCCGAGGACGTTAAAAGCCATTTAGACACAGCCTGCTTTTCTGAGGCTGGGAATAGATGGAGCTCTCCTTTCATTCGGAGGAGGAACGCTCTGAATACACCATCTGCTCCTAAATCTATAAAAGTGTGGAGATTTATGCAGCTGTTAACTTAGTGCCAATGATACATGTTGGATTAATGCACTTTAGCAGGCGTTTAGAATTATGGCGCACACGGCCGCAGATTAACGCTTCATGTTTTTAGCTTCATCCGGAAAAAGGCCCTAACATCTTCTGGAAGTGTTGGTGAAATGACTGATGCACCAGATAAGAACTCAGTCTCATTCTGGGCACTTGGGTTGTACCGATGTGGGTTTTCCGGAGGCAGATTTTTTCAACGCTTGAACTGGCCGATTTTGTTTAGTTTAGTTTATCATTGCATTTTTTAAACAACCACAATTGGGACATTTTAGGAGGCTATTTTATAATACTTTAATGGGTATTGATGGGTAAAGATAGATATTTCATTTGATTCTATTTTTAAAGTATGAAGTTGTTCTATACTCACTGAAATGTCCCCACTGTGGTACGATAGGATCTCTTAATTCATTGATTAATCTTGTTTTTTTTAAGAAGAGGAGAAGAAAACGTGAAGACCAATATATGATTCATTTTTACTTATATAGCTCATCTTGGTTATTTTGTGAATTCACTTTTTTACATCATGGAGGTATTTTGAACAATTGATTACTTTTATTGAATTTAACTTGTGTGTTCTGTCTTTTCTGTGTCTATGTTGGGCCCTGAGTCCGCAATAAAAACGCAATTCCTTCATTCATGCATTAAATTGGGCTTTGTCTGTGCTTTTTTGGTCGATTTTCTGAACAAAATGTGTTGAATGGAGACGTTTTACTTCTGGAAACCTAATCCCTGCCAACTTTGCAGCTTCATAGATCACTACTTTCTTCATATACAGTACAAGCTTAAGCGATTGCCAACAAAGTCAGAAGTAATTACAATTCCCAGTAAGACATTTATGTAAGTTCTGTTACGTACACTCAGCTTGGTGACACAACAATCTTTACACTGTTGGAAGAAATGATTACTAACCGTTTCTGTCTCTGGGCACAGTGCAGCTTACAGTCTGGTGAGCACCGCTAACTACATGCTAATCCTCACCCATATGTTTCACCGTATGGAAAGAAATCATGATCTGATCTCTCATACTGTAACATAGAGAGCGTTTCGTAAGGTGAACGCAGACAAGGGCACCAGGGCAGAGGATTGAGATGTCTTATGGATCGTGGAGGATTACTGCAGCGAACAAATGGAAACGGTGACTGTGATAAAGCTCCTCAGGCCGCGGGGGAGAAGAGATGGCAAGATCTGGCAACGTGACGTCCCGATACAAAAACATTGACGTCATTGTATTTGATAGGTTCGCAAATGTTATTATATACTTGTGTGTGTTTATAAGGAGGAGGCAAGAGACCGGACTGGCTTTGTAGCTTGCTGTATTAGAACTTATATAACGTAACATGTAATCACATTTTAGAAATTAACGTAACTCTGTGCGTAACTACCGTAATTCACTTTATATGTCAATACAAAACACTGATTTTAACACTTAAAAACATATAGACGGGGTAAGTAAGTAAGTAAGTAATCTTTATTCATATAGTGCCTTTCTCAGACCAGAGTCACAAAGCGCTTTTACAATTGTTATTTTTGGGCATTTGTCTCTCACTCCACACAGAGATGGGAGCGGGGTCACTGAACAGGAGGCGCATGCCAGACCTATTGTACATATTTTCTGTGGTAGGGGAAACCGGAGCACCAGGAGGAAACTTGTCCATACACGGGGAGAACATGCAAACTCCACTCAGAAAGGTCCTGTTCCGACCAGGATTCAGACCAAGGACCTTCTTGCTGAGAAGCGAAGGTGCTAACCACTCAGCCACCCAAGCTCACACAACGCCCAACTAAGTGTACCAATTTTAATCACATCTGTAGATCAGCTTTTTCAGACAGAAAAGTGAAAATGAGAGGACCAGCCTCCTTCAGCCAATCAGCTGACTTCAGACAGGCTTTCGGACTTTGAATGAATTTTATTGTTATTTCGGTTGATTTACATGTATTGCTGAGTTACATATACCTGTACATTCTAAATAATTCACGTGATCTATGACATTTCTACACAAGGCATTACTAATGGGAGCTGAATATCTAAACAGTAAGTGTGTTCAGCCTCTTGCAACCAACTTAATTACGTATTCATTCATTAGATATATTTGGAGAACTTTTACTCTTTTTTTTGCTCAATTTCACAGTTGGTGCTGGAGGTAACAGGAGGAAGAACTGCGGCTCTATTTGAATCCTTTTTCTAGTGTGGTGACCTTACCTTGCACATTTAGTGGTATGAACTCAGTGAACTGCAATAACACGCAAACATGTGTAAATATGTGTTGTGAGGTGCGTGAGAGCCGTGTGGGGGCGGGGCCGTGGTCGTACCGTGGTGTCGTTGGTGGTGACGTAGACCAGGACCTCGGTGCTGCCGCGGCCGCTCACGTACCGGTAACAGTTCCACACGCAGCCGATCAGGTAGGCCTGTTTGAGGGAGACAGAGAGGACGTCATGACCTTCGGAGGGACACACTGCTACTGCCGCTGCTGCTGCTGCTGCTGCTGCTGCTGCTGCCACTACTGTTCTTTATTACCAGAGTTCAACCATTCATCAATGTCAAACATGCTTAGAGAAGAGATGGATCACACAAGGGCCTGAACATGCTCTTAAAGCTGGAGAATCTAACTTTGAAACCACAAAAAAATACAATGTAATTTGGACACAATATAAGACTCTTTCTGTTGGGACAAACAAAATGTATGTAAAAAGGTTACATAATCCACCTTTACACCAGACTAGGTCTCAAAGAGCAAAAACGAATGCATAATATTGGACTATACGAGTGTTAATAATCCTACATGCTTCTATTTTCTGCTCAATCTCAATGTCAGAATATATATAGTAAAAAAATCCAGGTTCCAAACTCCTTTGTGGAATAGACAACAGTAGAATTGATTTATTCTGCCTCTTTAATATTGATCGGTAAAATGAAAAACATGGAATTTCCTGCACTCTCTGTAATTAGCATGTGACGGCTGTCCTCCTCCACGTTGCTATTTCTTCATTAGTGATTTCAGGCCTGGTCTCAGCGGTGGCACAATTGTGCGCAGGAAGCCAGCGGAGGTTTAAGGTTTTTCCTGATGAGCCGAGGAACAGGGTGGTCATTGTGTTTGTGTGTGAAGGAACCCGCTGAGCTTGTTCCTGTGCCAGCTCCAAAACCCAACCGACCACAACATCAATGCCAAGCACAGACCATCTGCTGAGTCCGACCTCCGCATCCAGAGAGCTGAGGTCAACACAACCTGGATTTATCACGCTACACTTTCTTGACAGAAATCCAAATGTTCGAGAGCCCCCTTCCTCTTGCGTCACACCTCTTATTATTCCATTCCAAACCAAATTTAATCCCTGCAGGATCACAGTTGAAGTGATGGTGGTCATGGACAGTAATAACCAGCCGTGTGTGTAAAACAATTGATCAAAACACCATTGCATTAAAAGTGACTGAACCGTGCTCGCCCTCTTGGAATCAATACTGACCACAGTCCAATTGTTTTATTCCTATAACACCATGTGCACGATGTATATTGAACCATGTATCTCCTCAACGTCTAACTTTCTCCAGTAGATTCTAATAACTCAAGTAGGTTCAGTCCCTTTGGACCGCTGTAGTAAAAGCCTACGTTTGACAAACATATTTAAATCAGCTTTTAAATATCAACATTATATGCAAAACTGAAATTATCGTTTCAGATACATATAAAAACATACCTCCTTTAAACTACTCCCACTACTAACAGAACAGTTGTATCTCCCAGTTGCAGCTCGCCTTTAGAAAATACAGCTTTGGTTTGTGAAGTTAGTCTGCTGTGAATGTTTCCTAATGGAGCTCAGAGGAGAAACCTCTTGATTTGATTACAGCACAGATGACTGAAACTTTGTGTCCCTCCCGTCTCGCTGCCCCAGAGCCGAGCTGCGCTGGCAGACTCATCCATGCATTAAGAGCCATCAGCCTGACAGGGGTTGGTTTTCTGTTGTCCCTGACCCGCTGCTCTGCGCCTCTATGATAATCTCATCAAGTGCACTGGCAGTGGGAGAACTCACGGATTCATGGGCATATGATTTACACAGTTATTGAATAAACTCGGCGCGAGGTGTTAAATCCACATGAATGCAATGAAAGCAAAGGTTTGGTCACGGTTTCATGTGTCTGATGTATTTATCACAAGCATATGGACTACGATAGAATACACTATAAAGCATTAGCTTACCTTAAAGGTTAGGATTCCACCAATGAATAACAGGACTGCAAAGACTAGGCACATGTTGTTGGTGGACATGATGTCCTCTTTGTAGGGAAAAGTCCCTGGCTAAAAGTAGAGAAATACACACAAAAGGAAAGTAGGTTACTCCGTAGAAATTATGAATGATATAAAATGATCTAAAAATAACTTTATTTCTCAAAGGGATTGGTTTGTCAAGTAAAAGGGTACTCACCAACTGCTGAAGATAGTCCTGCACTGTGTTGGGATAGACCACCACACTAATGGCCACCAGAGTATTAAGGGCAAAGTCAAAGATTTGGTAGCAGAAGAAAGGGATGATCCATGCGGCATGTTGCTGTGAAGAGCAAATAAGTTCTATCAAAACTTGTGCCGTCACACGTTCTACCATACCATGATGTCTGGTATGTATGTATGTGTGTGTGTATGTATGTATGTATGTGTGAGTGTATGTATGTATGTATGTATGTGTGAGTGTATGTATGTGTGAGTGTATGTATGTATGTATGTATGTCTGTGGGTATGTATGTATGTGTATGTATGTGTGTGTGTATGTGTGTGGGTATGTATGTATGTATGTATGTATGTGTGTATGTATGTGTGAGTGTATGTATGTATGTATGTATGTATGTATGTATGTATGTATGTGTGAGTGTATGTATGTATGTATGTATGTCTGTGGGTATGTATGTATGTGTATGTATGTGTGTGTGTATGTGTGTGGGTATGTATGTATGTATGTATGTATGTGTGTATGTATGTGTGAGTGTATGTATGTATGTATGTATGTATGTATGTGTGAGTGTATGTATGTATGTATGTATGTGTGAGTGTATGTATGTGTGAGTGTATGTATGTATGTATGTATGTATGTATGTCTGTGGGTATGTATGTATGTGTATGTATGTGTGTGTGTATGTGTGTGGGTATGTATGTATGTATGTATGTATGTATGTATGTATGTATGTGTGTGTGTATGTATGTATGTATGTGTGAGTGTATGTATGTATGTATGTATGTATGTGTGAGTGTATGTATGTGTGAGTGTATGTATGTGTGAGTGTATGTATGTATGTATGTATGTATGTATGTCTGTGGGTATGTATGTATGTGTGTGTGTATGTGTGTGGGTATGTATGTATGTATGTATGTATGTATGTGTGAGTGTATGTATGTGTGTGTGTATGTATGTGTGTGTGTATGTATGTGTGTGTGTATGTATGTATGTATGTATGTATGTCTGTGGGTATGTATGTATGTATGTGTATGTATGTGTGTGTGTATGTGTGTGGGTATGTATGTATGTATGTATGTATGTATGTATGTGTGAGTGTATGTATGTGTGTGTGTATGTATGTATGTATGTATGTGTATGTATGTATGTGTGTGTATGTATGTATGTATGTGTATGTGTATGTATGTATGTATGTGTGTAACAATCATTCATATTTATTTACCTTGTAGGCCCCATAGGTTGCCATGCCACAGATGAGGATCATGAGGAGCGATATGGCAGTGGCTATGCAGATATCTGAAGAGACAAAAACCAACGAAAACATAAATTACACATCCACACACTTGACCCACGTTTAAGAGACCAGACATAACCCAGTGCATTCACAATACAAGCACCTTAAGTAACATCACTAACTATTTTTAGCACTCACTCTGTTTGTGAAAAGCCCGGCCACCAGAAGCCTAATTCTTATGCAAGACCGGGGCTAATTTAGACATAATATAAACACCTCCTGTATTCACTTTACAGCTGTGACCGCTGGGCAGAAGCGACAAGGACACACTGTCTTCAAAACACCACAGATTATAAAGGGTAGATTTATTAAGCCCCAGGACACACACTGGACCGGGTTATTTATAGATTTAGGACTAAAGTGATTGTTCACTGTAGCAAAAGGGTGATAACCGTGAAAGTTGTCAGTCCTATTGTTGCTTTGTTTTGGACATTATAAGAGGGGGCCGTGTTCAATTATGATACAGACATTTATGTAGTTTCTAGTAAGAAGAAAGAGGCAATTGGTTTCAGGCAATTCTTGTATAAAGGGTTTTGCACGTACTTTGCACCGGAACAGTACTGAATGTTAAAGGTATAAAGGGGGATTCTCTACTTCTGGGTGGATCATCAAGACTATTGGTCCTCTCAATTGTCAATCATTCTGGTGATACGTGCTCATCAAATAAGACCAGAGTGTTTTGTTGAATAAGTGGAGAGGGCAGTTCTTTCCAAAAATTCCAGACACTATTTCAAAACCAAGAAATTATTGCTGATAGATATTTGTTGGATGACGTTTTGCCCATTGCTGCCGTCGTCAAATCATTCTTTTCTCTTTCTTTAGACCACAATATCTTTTTTTTTTCTATTTATGAAGTGAAAATAGACAAAAATAGATACGAAGGGGATAGTACAAAAACAAACATCGTGAAGCGGCGACGAAACATGGGAATATACAAAGATATACAGATATTGAGACAACATGAAACTAACATACAGAAACACAACATGTAGAAGGGGGATGCGGTGTGTGTGTGTGTGTCTGTGTGTGTGCGAGTGTGTGTCAGAAGAAAGAAGTCAATTATCAAAGTCATAAACACCAACATTATGTTATAAGACTTCTAAATGTCCATCCATCCATCCATTTTCTTACCCTTAATCCATTTCTGGGTCGGGGGGGTAGCAGTCAGAGCTGCACCCAGTACACAGAGCACCAGCCCCTCACTGACCCTCCTGCAGGTGGTGAGTCCACAGGAGCTGAGATCTTTCAGTTGGGGCTTTGGGCAAAGTAGGGTTAAGTGTCTTGCCCAAGGACACAACGACAGCAGTCATCAGTGGGAGTCATGAAGTGGGTCTTACGGTGGGCTCGAACCCACGACCTTCAGGCCCAAAGGCCAATGCTCTACCAACTGAGCTACTGTCGCCCCCACTTCTAAATGTATGTATGGGAATTAGATAGTTATACAAGTGACCCGATTGTGTATCTGCTACAATTGTGTATCTGCTACGATTGTGTATCTGCTACGATGGTGTATCTGCTACGATTGTGTATCTGCTACGATTGTGTATCTGCTACGATTGTGTATCTGCTACGATTGTGTATCTGCTATGATTGTGTATCTGCTATGATTGTGTATCTGCTACGATTGTGTATCTGCTACAATTGTGTCTCCGTGTTCTTTCGATGACTCTGATATGTTCTGATTGTCTCTTGATCTTGCCTTTCTATGTGTGACGTATGTGTGACGTAACGAATGACTATATAAACCACCAAATCCTGACTTTGTCCTGTCTAAAAAAACCTGAATGAACTGAGAGAAACTGGATAAACTTCCAGAAGGCTCTGGTGCGTAAAGATCCCGTCTGTGAGGTAAATTTTCCACAACGTATGTTTTATGAGTAGAAAAATATCCAGCCTCTTTACACCACAATATCTCTGTGAACTCCAGACTCTGTAGCTATAACTCAAACCCATACTCAAACCATGCTTACGTGCACATCGGCACATAGTATCACACACGATCAGTGCCAGCAAACAGGCGGGAGAGGGGGTGTGCAAGATGGCGGCTTTAATCTGCCAGAGATTGAGAAGCGCTTTTAATCAGACGCGGCAGTGACAGGATTGCTCTGTGACGATGATCGCGGCTGCAGGGAAAACACGCACTCAGATGTTTCCCCGGAGCCGACTCAGCGAGGGGCCGATGCTCAGAGCAGCAGTCTGCAGAGCGCGTCCTGTCACCGCTTTGAGGACGCCGGAAGTGGAAACGCTGCTGGCTTTTGTCCTCTGTTTTACACAACATTGAGAAAAGTAACTTGACAGTGAATGACTGTGAAACGCAAAGAGTGTGTGACCCGTTCTGTCTGGTTTGGCATTGATTCTAAACACAAAGACAACCCTTACTTTAATATGAGAGGGATCAAATATGTAACTTCAATTCAATTCAATGTATTTTTGTATAGCCCTAAATCACAACTTAAAACCGCTGAATTCGCAAACACAAATCAGAGAATCAAACAGTTTAAAAATGCAATGATAGAAAACACATAGAGCCATTGGTCCATAAGAAGCAGATGACCAATGTCCATAAATTATGATAAATAAAGGTAAACACACACCTCATTTCACTGTAGTCACTGCTTGTTTTTTTCCATTATGTAAACTTAAACTTCCTCTGTTCTTGCCATCCTAGTATTATTGTTTATGAAATGTGGGACCCCATTTATAAGCTTGGCAGAGCTGTTCGGGGAGTCAATTTTTCACAAGTCACAAAGATATACACAAATTGTAATCTATTCAATATCCATGGTGATGTGAAAATAAAAAAAAAATAAACTGATTCCACAATTATTCCAACTGAACACAATCCATCATTTGAACAAACAGTAAATGTCCAAGTCTGAAATGAAATGTCTTTAGTCTAATAGAATTTCTGGATGTATTCTACAGCACATACTTTCTCTCCTGTATGTTGTTTTTTTAATGTGAGGTTCAGATAAATAGCAAAACAAACATGAAAAGCCATGATCAGAACTCGTTGCACGTCGCACTCACTTGCATCGTCCATGACGTCGATGTCCGTGCCGAGCTCGGAGCTGGTCAGGTGGTACCGGTACTGCACCGGATCATTGAGCGCGGACAGTAAAATGAGTAAGACCACTGCGTTGATGAGCTGAAAGAAATCAAACAAGAGCCATTACAACCAGCAACGACTTTTTAATCCAAATATCAGGTTTTTCTACGTATATTACTATCACCAAAAGACTAGTGTTGCACAACTACTATTTCATGGTAGTATAGTTGTAGTTATTAGATTACAAATCTATATTTGACTCTTTACTTGTGTAATTAGGATTATTTTTGATAATACAGATTATTCTTCCGATTAATCAAGTTTTGTTGCTCATCTGCATAGAGAAGACAATTACTGCGGTCGTTTTAGAATTATCTGAGTCAAAAAAAACGCTCTGCATGTATAGGTCTACAGTATGTCAGGTTCAAAAATGAATTCATCAAACTTGTAAACCCTAATCGTGTGCTGAACTTTATCTCAAAGCACCTGAACTGAAAAACCATCTGACAAGATATATGTATTATTGTTATTCATTTCCACACATGCAAACCTAGAAGTCCTCATAGATCTGCCAATAACTTTATGAACTAATACAATATGTTACACCAGTGAAGCAAATGAAAAGCATTTCTCCTCAGTTAACAGCGAATTAGCAAATGGGTTCAATTGTTTTTAAACGGGTATTGAAATCTCATTCTGGGATAGAATCAGCCACTGTAGCTGTACTGTAGATTTATTACACCACTTTGATTTAACAGATATCATCAAATCAATACCAACCTAACCACACACTGGTACAGACCTCTGTTACCAGTATGGTATGGATTTATCCCAATAGTCAGTGCTCATGGATGTCCTGATGACTCAGGAACTCAGTGAAGATCAGGGATTTACAGGATTACTGGACTAGGTTTAAAAGTCCAGGTTATTCTGTGAGCAGCAGTGGAGGCTACTGCTATATTTAGCAGACTTTCACTATATGGGGCAGAGCTTTAGAATTCACCAAGACGTTGGATGTCATTTTTAGATGGTAAACTAAAGCTGAAATAGAGAAAAACTACATTGATAAATATGATTTAGGGACAAGCCAAAACCAGTGAGTAATGGATAGTATTAAGAGAGGCAAATAATGGGATTCTTTAAAAAAGTGTTTAATTATTTACTTTGACTCACAATCTTGTAAAGAATAGAATACGATGAGTAACAAGATCAAGCCGTGATTTACTATGAGCAGTGTGTTGGAGCCGTTCTCTCCCGCTGAACTACATTTGGCTTCATTCATAGAAAGGGGAATCCAACAAAAACAAAACAAAAGGAAAAGAGGGATCCCCGCATTATTAGCGTTCACATTCAGACGCCAGACACTCCCAATACTCTACACATAATAATGATAAATGCATGAATGTAAAGCTGTCACAAATGCCACTCACCATGTACCATACTCCCAGTATGATGGTGCCCGTCCGTACGTGGCAGCAGAGGCAGCAGCTCGTCGAGTACCACCGGTCCCACGGCGAAAACATGGTGGAAATGAATGGGAAAAAACTCTCTCCTATTTCATGAATGCTTCTGGGACCCAGGCGAGTGTAGAGGCTCGTAGGTCAAAGATAGCTTCCCCTTGCGCTAAAGACGAGGCATTGGAGCGATGTTGTTCTGTGCAGAGGAGTGTAGTCCCCCAGCTTTAATCTGGCTCATCCCCGGACACGTGACCACCGCTCGGACCAATGGGAAGAGACGGATGCGACCGATAAACACCAGGGATCTATTGATAAACACTGGCATAGGTGACGACAGTGTATTATTTTATGCATGTGAGTTCTTCTTAAAATATAATAAAAAATACTATACTGTTCTACGTAGGTTTCCTCCAGGTGCTCCGGTTTCCGACCACTAAAATAATAATATAACAATAATAATAATAATGCACCGGTTTGATATAGCGTTTTTTTATTTTATTGTCATTATTGTTTCACCCCATACATGGTGGTGATAAACTACTACTTTAGTCACAGATGCCCTGGGCAATGTGTGGGAAGTGTCTTGCCAAAGGTCACAGCAACAGTTTGGCACTTTACAGAGATAACAGTCCCACTGTGGCACCTGGTGTTACAAGAGGTCTCCCATCATAGCACTACCCAGGCCTTGCCCTGCACAGCTCAGAGGTCTGACATGATTTGACTTCCGCATACAAGTATCAAAAACAAATCAATAACAAAACAAAAACCACCTTTGCTTAAAACAGTTTTTGATCAATAAAGGTGGAATGACACTTGTTTGAAATATAAATTCTCATTTTACACCAAAAACCTTGTCCATTGACCTTGTCCCTATCTCTCAAAACAGTTTGGTTCTATCTAGTGGTAATAATGGCCTCAGACTTACATTTTAACAGCCACATGTAATCAGTAACAGCAGCAGCTTTTTACCATCTAAAAACTAAAAAAAAAAAAATCTTTAAAATAGTGTCTAAAGCAGAGCGCCTCCTGCTGGTGCCCTGAGTCAGAACTAAACATGAGGAGAATATTTATGAGGGTTTCTATCTTGTTTTATTAAGCACTTTAAGTTGCTTTGGGTATGAACCGGTCAGTACAAACAACCTTACCTTTGGTCCGTGTGAATGGAATCAACATCTCCGGGAGTAGTGAGTCGGAGCTGTTCCCAGAGCATGTGTGTCCCCTCCCAGGCTGCTCTTTGCCACCACTTCTGTTCACTGTTTTTGTGGGGTTTCAGTAATTTTGTTCATTGTTTTAGCCTTATAGTATTACTCATCTCTTGAGAAACAATGATTGGTGAATATAAAACAGTATTTTACATTAATTATTTTATATTTATTATTCACTAAATTCAGTTCCAATGTCGCCACAGTTGAGAACCACTGGAAAAGCATTTGAGGTTTGTTGTTTGTGCTTGACCTTCATGCTTATAATGCCCTAACACAACATAACAGATGGAGGACGTAAATGAACCTTTTTCTAATTGTATGAATGGACTGGGATTTCCTCACATTCAACACTTGTAATCTAGAACCACTCCCCCCTCCCCTCGTCTCTCCACCGAACCAAACATCCAGCTTTTTCTTTTCTTTGTCACAACAGGAAGAGTGGGCGGCAAACGTGAAATTGGCCTTTTCTGTTCAGCCACTTAATGTTTTAGATAATAATCTGATTACTCCGGTGCGCACATTCACGAGAAACAGAAAGAGGGTGAAGGGGGTAAACGCATCCCATTGGTTCGTTGGGGATGAACGACTCCCATTGGTTTATTTTTATCGGTCCGCTCCAAATTATTTTGTAAACATGTTTGGGGACTATAGGCATCTGGTCAATTCCATTACTATTTGAAAACACATGATAACTTGACTACTTTTAAGGTTTAGGGCCATTTTCCCACGATATTTAAAAAAAATGCACCTGGAAAAAATCTCTGACTGCATCTTTAATTCAAGGCCTTCCAGGTTAAAACCCATTGGCCTACCCAGTCATGTCCAAACTAAGGACCATGGGCAAAATGCGGCCCTCTGTGTCAGTTTATTTGGCCCTATGCCTTGTTAAACTAAAGTAGTCTTTCAGATCATCCAGCCAACTTAATCTCAGCCTATATAGACAAATCGTACCTCATTGTAAGATACTTCAGCCATTTACTTAATTTGTATACTGGCATTTCTTGTGTCACAAAATCCATCTACAAACAGAGCACTATCCTCTCCTCCTTCCTACTTTACCTGTTTAGCATTTTTTGGATTTTGACTGTAGTTTGTTCATTGCTATTCACCCGTTGTCCCATTGTCTGTTTCATGGTACGATGACGGGATCTCTGAGCCTGGCCTCCTCCATCTACACCTGCGGACTGCCCCGCCCGACCCGCCTGGGAGTGCGGGTCCCAGGCGGGCAGTCCTGCACCGGACCTGTCCACGTTCAGCGGCCACTGGTCCACGTTCTGTAGCTAGCTTAGGTCCTGGATCATTAGCCTGTACGTCCGGAGGAGCGGATCCCTTTCTCATATGGGTCTCCCTCCCTGTGGGTTTCCCTAGTTCTCCCCAAGGTTTCTCACTTTTTCCCACTGGGTTTTTTAAGAGTTTTTCCTTGTCGATGCAGGAGGGTCTTGTTGGACAGTTAGTGTCCAACAGAAAGGATTGGTGATGATCAGGACACTTTAGCATTCTACAACATGTATGGACATTTTCTTCTGTGTGTGCTTTATATTCTTCATGTGTTTTAACTGTTGATTCTCTGACCTGTGTTGGTGAATTCAATGGTTCTGTTAAGTCCTCTGAGATGACTTCTGTTGTGACCTAGGGCTATACAAGAATAAATTGTATTGTATTGTATTGTATTGTATTATCTATGTCGCTTATGGAGCTGGTAAACATTTGTCATTCAGCCAACTTCAGCTCTGTTATAGCTCATTCTAAAGCTCAGAACAGCCAAAATCCAGTCAATACCACACGACAATCTGGGTCGTCGGCCCCTGGGTCAGTCTGATGAACTGAAAAGGTCTTCTTACTAAAATGTTTGGACACCCCTGGCCTAACGCTTCTCCTGTATCATTTTACTGAACAAATCTTAGCCGAGGATAACGACCGGATGTATTTATTGAATATGTGGAACAAATGTAAGATCATGCAGATAAACACCTATTCATGAACAGTAAAGTCTTGAAAGCAAGACACTATAGAATATTTCAAACACATGAAAAAGAAAATAGTTTGTGTTGAAGAAATATGGCCAAAAGCTCATGAAAGTATAGTTCTTATAAGTCAAGATATAAGAGATGTAAACGTCTTGGTACTGACACTGGTTTCACCTTTTAATCAGTCTCCTCCTGCAGAGACAGAAGCTGATTGGAGACAGCTATTACTGCACAGGTGTCTCTTTCACTGCTTCTGCTTTTTATTCATCATTAGAAACAGCCTGTACATTTCTGTACAGTATTTATGTGGGGTGTTACACTGTTTTTCTACCTTATCCTATTTATAAGATAAGATAACACGTTATGGTTATGATATACATTTTTACAAAGCAATTTTATTACCCATAATCAATAATAACTAAATAATCAACATAAAGAAATGAAGCGACCACGCATTCTCTATTTTCATGGTCAGTTTTGAGCGTGGCAGACAGAGAAAATGAAACGAAATGTCTCAAATAACCATGAAAGGACAGTCTTTTTTTGTTGCTAATCAGTGGCATGTACACAACAAATTACGTTTAAAACGGCACGTACACAACAAAAGGCGTTTAAAACGGCAGTCTGGGATTTTGTTAAAATGTAAAGTGCATTATGAATAAAATTTATTATTATTTGTATTATTAACAAAGAGTTTTGAAATGGCTTCCATGTTGTCATTTTCCGGATTCTACCCATCGCCGTGGCGACAGAAACATTTGTCTTTATGCAGAGAGGTTACCCTGGTAACCTTTGATGACATAATCACATTCTGTCTTGAAGCAATGATAGCCTAGGCCCTGGAGTTAGGGCCAGGAGAGTCTAGGGGTGGCCTCATTTCCAGCAGAGAGGAAAGTATTTAGATTGAGGGGAGGCAATTGGCAATTGTTGAAGATGTTTTAATTTTAGATTATTATAATCATATATTCAAGAATGGATTTGGAAATCCAAAGATTGACTTTGGAAAAACAGAGTCTGGATTCAGAGTTCTTGGCTGTAACAGATTACTATGTGGAACTTAAAAAAAAATCAGACGAAGAGATCCTAGAAGTAGAAACAGTCAGAGCTAGTAGACATACAAGGCTAACAAACAAATGGACGAGAGAGTCAGATGGGCTGAAGGCTGAGAAACAGCAGCTGCACTCTAAGTTAGAGGAGAAAAGAAGGGCTCAGGTTTGTGCAGGTGTAGAGACCCAAAAAGGACCAATCGAGTGCAAAGACGTCGCTGTACAGGTCGGGGTTGAAGTTCGGGAGATAGGCACACAAGTCGAATCAGAGCTAACATTTACAAATGCAAGTGTACAAACGGAGATGGCGTTTGTAGAGACGGGGACACAGACTGAACAGAGGTCAGAAGAACGCGCTGCTTCTGACCCCCAGCAGGCACAGGGAAGTGACCTGGTGCAATGCCTGGAGGAGTCAGAGACACAGCTTCGTCAGCTCGACGCTATCAATAGTGAGAAAGATGAAACCATCTTGAGGTTGAGGGATCAGGAGCAGGCGATCGAAGTGGAGTGTCGTGAGCGAATGGAGGAAACCCGCGAAGTCCATGAAGTCGAAGTGGAAAATGAAGGAGGCTTCTGGTCAACTTTCAAATCCGGGGCAAAGAAAGTGGCCACAGCAAGTTTGTGGGCTGTGCCTGCTGTGGCTTTTGGGTTTGGTATATACGCTCTCACCCGTTAAGGGGTGAGCCACTTATCAACCTTGTCCCGTTTAAGGGTCAAGGTTGGTACAAGTGTGTATGTGTGTGTGTGTGTGTGTGTGTGTGTGTGTGTGTGTGTGTGTGTGTGTGTGTGTGTGTGTGTGTGTGTGTGTGTGTGTGTGTGTGTGTGTGTGTGGTTTCAGGGATGGCCACACTGTGCATTCGCCCAATAGACAAATCTCTGTCAGTTACTGCTCACAAATGGGTCATAAGACGCATTTAGGATCACTGTGTGACAGAGTTGGGTCCATGGAGCATATGCACAGAGGGGTCAGGCCGAAGCCCTCCGACTGTACGAAAAAGTTCTTTAGGATTTATTCATACAGTCTTGTGTGAATGTGTTTTACGAGCTTGGGACCAACAGGAGTCCACACTTACATTTCATGCAGTCACGTCATTTATGAACTATTCTCTTTGAAAGTCCAGGAAAAAGAGTGTTGGTGACAAACTGATAGACACGATCGATGGTGAAAATACTGTGAGGCGTCCAGAACAACACACAATACGACCAGACAACTACACAATAACGGGCATGGTTCCTTTTCTCCCGTCACACTTTACACACTGGAAGTATTATCGGGAATAAGTATTACGAGTTTGAAATATAATTTAATTTCAAGGAAACTTGTAGTATGTGTTATTTCCTTGAATACTTCAGAAGTGTATGTGTGAAGGGAGCACAGGGGAACATGACTGTTGTGTCGTTGTATGGTCTAAGAGTTTGTGTGTGTGTCTCATAGAAATGATCTATGGTGAAAATACTATCAGTTCTGCACAGAGCACTCTTTCCTGGACCATAAACGAGGACAGTTTGTGATACTGACCGTGAACAAACTAATCTGTTCATTGTCCGTTTCATAGCGTGATGATGGATCCCTGAACCCGGCCCTCATCCATCCGCACCTACAGACCATCCTGCCCAGCCCGACTCGTGGGCTACACGAGTTGGGCTGGGTTATGTTTTGGCCAGGATCAAAAACATAGTGTCTAAAGCAGACTTGGAGATTCTTATCCATGCATTTGTCTCCAGTAGGTTAGACTACAGCAATGGCCTGCTCACAGGTCTGTCCAAACAGGCTGTAAAACAGCTGCAGTACATTCAAAATGCAGCAGCTCGAGTCCTGACTAGAACCAGGAAGTACGACCATATTAGTCCTGACTAGAACCAGGAAGTACAATCACATTAGTCCTGACTAGAACCAGGAAGTATGATCACATTAGTACTGACTAGAACCAGGAAGTATGATCACATTAGTCCTGACTAGAACCAGGAAGTACGATCACATTAGTGCTGAGTCCTGACTAGAACCAGGAAGTATGATCACATTAGTCCTGACTAGAACCAGGAAGTACGATCACATTAGTGCTGAGTCCTGACTAGAACCAGGAAGTATGATCACATTAGTCCTGACTAGAACCAGGAAGTACGATCACATTAGTCCTGACTAGAACCAGGAAGTACGATCACATTAGTGCTGAGTCCTAACTAGAACCAGGAAGTATGATCACATTAGTCCTGACTAGAACCAGGAAGTACGATCACATTAGTGCTGAGTCCTGACTAGAACCAGGAAGTATGATCACATTAGTCCTGACTAGAACCAGGAAGTACGATCACATTAGTGCTGAGTCCTAACTAGAACCAGGAAGTATGATCACATTAGTCCTGACTAGAACCAGGAAGTATGATCACAATAGTGACATGTTGGTGCAGAGAAGGTCACCAGTGTGTGGTGTGTGCCGCGTGCCACGAGACCACAGCAGCACATTGACTGGGCCACTCTCCCATGAGCCCGATTTGGGCCATACAGATTAGATGGATTGGGAAAGGCTGGATTGGGATCAGATTAAAATGTAAATACAAATACAGGAAAACAAATATCTTGCCATGATTGGAGAATGAATGAGTTAGCAACATTCATGGACTTATCAACAAAGAAAGTTAATGTCTGTTACTTAGACTTGACCTACATTTGTTGGCTTTTATTGTTGATTTATAGACAATTGACTTACTAAACTAAATGAAGATCTGTGCGGTTGGTCCTGTTGGTATAGTTCTGCTTTTGGAGTTACTAATCATGGAAAGCAGTTTATAAATATACATTGTGAGAAGTTAATTGTTTTATAATCACAGACACAATAGCACTAACTACAATACTGTTCTAATATGCAATAAACATCTAAATCTAACTTTAGAATGAATTTCAGATGTAAATGTTTTTTTCCATCAGTATTTCTGGAGCACTGTATTGTACTTGTGAAACATTGTTTTTGTGTAAATTTATCACATTGAAATAAGATCAAGCATTACATTTTATTAGTGTATTCTTTACCAAACAAACATAAAAATGCCATTTGTTTATAGACAAAACATTTTTTTCTAAAACAGTTTTATAAATACATTGGATTTAGCATTAGTAAAAACAGAACTACTGCACTAAGGCCTATGTACCAACAACACAGCTGTGGTAATATACATTTGCTCAACATGACGCCCGCACAAAACCTGTCCATTTATAAAATCAAATTACTATTTACACAATGAGTGGACCAAACATTTAAAGCAAGTCATTTCAATTGATTTCCACTAGAACTATTATTAAAGTCATGCAAGTGGAATCAGTTTGACATCGCAAAATGACTGTACACATTAAGGCAACAGAATAAACTCTTCTTGAATATGTGTCATTGTTTTAACCTCAAGTTAAAAATAAGCTGCTCTGTTTAGTCTCAAAGTCTTCCCAAAACCCTCATCCCAAAATTCCGGAAGTCGGTTTTTAAATTTCACATTCAGCAAAAAAGTACAAACATTTGATCAAAAGGAACTTTACAGCTTTTTGCACAGTGCAGTCACATCAGTGAAAGAAAAAGCCCTTAGTCTGTACAGGTGACTTTTCCTAGGATTAGAATGGAATAAACAAATGTATACAAAGGACTAACATTAATAATTACCATTCTGCTTTTGAAACCAAAATGTAAAAGGATGTTCAACGTGTACAAAAGGGACTACTGCTCTCACAGAACACTACAGCTCCACCTGGTGGCTTCCATCGGTACTACGACTAACAAACAACAAAGACTTTCCTTCTCTCTGACAGCTGCTCATTTGGAACCTGGAAGTAACTACAATACTCAGGGGATTGTATTTGTTGGTTTGCGATGTATGTATCGTGATTAAAAAAATAAAAACAATACAAGAATTAAAATAGAAAATAAATAAGTGGAGTCAAACCTTAACATTCGTATTAGATACAAAATAATCAAACCCGTTTTGTTCTTTTGGGGAAAGCAAAGAAATAAAAATGATATCATATATAATGCTCTCCTGAAGCAGTGTAACAAATAGTGCAATTCTGTTAAAACTTCAGTCCATAGGACCACCATTTGTGACAATATTCGGCCAAGCAGTTAGCCTCCACTGCTTTATTTGTGAAAATGTTTGAAATGTTTTATAACCTGGTAATTATTGCAAGTAAAGCATCAATTGCATAAGCGGTTTGCGACCTGTGGACAAGAGTTCAAGTTTCTCTTCGAACCTTTTTCTTTTGCACAAACTTGAGAGGCTCTGCTGTCTCCTCAGGCTTCTCTGCAGAGACATTGAGGCGTAAAAGGAAGGAACAACACAACAACTGCAGCACACATCATTTGGACTTACTCTGAGCAGGTAATGTGCTGGGTTTGTGAGAAGATTGTACTGAAAGCTCTTGTTTGAAAACAGAGCTCACCATCTGGGTTCAAACAACCACAAACATGTAAATAATAATATAATAATAATAATAATAAAGCATTCCTCCCTCTCTGCTATTACCTGAGACGCAGACCCACTTTCTTCTTCAGTCTTCTTCTTCTTTCTTCGCCTCTTCTTAGACTTGGCTGCTCCCTCAGATGGATCACTGTCCTTTTCATCTTCAGACAACTAAAACAAAAAATACATCTAAATTCAATTTTAAAATAACATACATACAAACATAGATACGTAGTATCCATCATCCATATTCATTCCTTAATCCATTTCTGGATCCGTTAATATTCTACCTTGTAATCTGTAGTTAATCTGCAGATCTGTAGTTAGGTTACAAAGCCTTCCACAGGCTGCCAAACCAGCACGCTGATGTTTATTTTAAATATTTTAAGTTTCATATAACATGTTGTATCATGTGTAATATTTCTACAAAAACCACAAGTGCTTTTGTTTTTTTTTTGTATATCTTACTCAGAGAAACATTTTGAACAAATATTTTATTTGAAAAGAAAAGGAAAACCCAGGCCCTCTAAACGAGCAGTAAAAGATCTGCAGTATATTCAAAACGCTGCAGCATGAGTCTCGATTAGAACCAGGAAGTATGACCACATTAGTCCAGTTCTCAGTTCTCTGTTGAAAACATTGTTGTATATATAATACATATCCGTATACATTATTAATTGCTCTTGTGAAGCAATTTAAATTGTTTTGTAGACAAATTGTGCTAAACCAATAAATGTTGATTGATTGATATAGCATATAGGGATTGTTAAATTTATGTCTTTAATTTCCAGACTTTTACTTTGAAGTCCTACCTTGATGATGCCTGGTTGTTCCTTTAATGCAAAGGCAGGAGGCTCCACTGGAGGTGGCTCTTCGTAGTTACCCCAGTGCTCGAGCGGGGCGTTCCAGTCAGAGGTGGGGTCTGTAGTGATCCCATCTGAATATCACAATTCAATATTTACTATAATTAATAGCGGTCTTTTTTATGTTTCATTATGTCAATGAGCAGTTTTACTTACTAAATCCAGACCAATCATCCTCTGGAACTTGATTTGTCCACTGCTCAATTGAACTGGCAGCTGGCTCTAAGCATCAAACACATATGAGGAACATAGTGGTAAATAGTAATACATATTTTGTGTTTTTTATTATGTGAAAACGGGCCATTACTACCTGCTGGGCTTGGTGCCAGCATTGAAAATGACACTGGATTCAGGTCATTCTTCATTCTTCCCTCAATCCCACTCCATGCTACTTTTGGAGGAAACAAAAACAAGTGGAATTTGGGAAGTGGAAATCATTTAGAATATATATTTCTAAACTGATGTAGAGTCAGTTATTGATGCTACCTTGGGTTTCTTGTGTCCAGGGCTGGGTTGCAGAAAGGCCACTCCACTTTGGCCCTTCCATTGGCCCCCTTTTGGAGGACACTTTTAAAGACATATCTATCCATCCTGCAGTATTGTTCAAAGCTTCTTCACTCCAGGTGGTTGCTGAGATTGTAAAAGGACATTAAATGTTCTGTTGTAATTAATACATTATGTGACTACTTGCTGATGAACAAGAGATTTTGGAAAATATCTGAGTGAAGCTGTCACATCCTATAAAAGATTGGGTACGATCCCACCTCCAAATAGGGCCTATATGTGTGGAGTTTGTGTGTTCTCCCCATGTTTGTACAAGTTTCACTCCTACACTAAAAACATGTACAATAGGTCAGGATGAATGAGTGTGAGTTTGTGACCACGGATACAGGTGATCAGAATGAGCTTCCTCCTCAGAGTGGCTGGGCACTTCCTTAGAGAGAGTGTGAGAAGCTCGAACACAGGAGGAGCTCGAAGTAGAGACGCTACGTCAACGTCGAGAGAAACCCGATGAGGTGGCTCGGGAATCTGTTCTGGATGCCTCCTGGACTCTTTCTGGGCAGGTGTTCCGGGCATATCCCATCGGAAGAAGACCCAGGACATGCTGGGAGGACTATGTCACTCAACTGTGTGTGTGGATATGGAAGTCTGGGCATCTATGCAAGAAACTGGATGGATGGATGGAGTTTGTGAGTGTGACTGTGCGACAATGGATGGAAATTAGCCAAAGGCTACAACCTGGAGTATTTACAGCACTGCTGTTCATTAATACACAATGTTCCATCCAAAAATAAAAGATTAAACATTTTTATCTTAAACCAGATGTGGAGCTCCACTGAGATGTTCCTTTTGAGTTTCATTATTCTGTTAAACAGATTTGCTCTCACCAGCTCCTACACCCACTTTTCCAGGAGGCTTTGAAAGCAGGGAGCCTGAAATGAAATGGTATGGAGAGTAAAAATATGGCTGACTATTTTCACAGCTCACCTCAGTTTTTCTACACACCATGTTTTTTGTTCTTCTTGGTTGTCTTGACCCCAGGTCCCTCTACAGGAGCCCGAGGGGCCACAAGGCCTCCTGGGCTTCCGGAGACATCAGAACCTCGCTCCTTTTTTCGCTGCTGCCTCTTCTCTCGGTTACTGACTTTGGTCTCCCATGCACCTGTAGAATAGACCGCAAACTAAGTCTACATGTATGCAGATAGATAAACAACACCATTTCTATGGAAACAAGCTCACAGAGGTACTCCATAATTACACAACAATCACAATAGTGACAAAATACCTTTTTCAGTTAAATAAAAACATCCAAAGGGGATGCCCTGTGTTTTCCATTATTACCTCCAGAGGTTCTGTTTTTACCAGGGTTTGTTTGTATACACCTAACTTAAGTCATAACGGTATGAGTGGATTTTTTACATTTCTTCAGTAAAGCTTGAAAATGTGAAATGATTACATTTTGGAGGTGATCCATAATACCATCTGAGTCTAGGATTTTTTTTTTAACAGAAAGAGAAATGTGCATCTTGGCAGAGGTCTGAGAGGGCTTTTCTAGTTTTGGCTAAAAGGTTACCAGATAATTACGGAGGCCTGAGCAATGCTATATTCATATCTTGATGCATAAAATACCATCATCCTGCTTTTCCTCAGGTGTAGATGTTTGCTGGGTTGGTCTCGCCTCAGGCTTAGGTTTCTTTTTGTTTTTCTTAACATGTGTTGGTATCTGGACCGATAGAACCTGATGAAATGAATAAATACATATAAATGACAGAAAATGAAAGTCAGTTTGATAACCATAATGTTAGACATACAAACCTCTGAAGACGTTGACTGCAGCTTTTCTACTTTAGTCTTGGGCGATACCTTCACATTTTCTTGACACCCGTGTGATATAGACACTGGTTGCCCATTGGATGGGGTCTTCTTAACAAAAACAGCAAAGAGAAAAAATATTTCTGACCCCAAAACAACAATACAAGCATTTATTATATGCTGCATACCTTAATTTGAATTGTAAAAGATAAGACCCCATTATCCTTTTCATGATTAGACAAAGTCTCTCATTACATGAGAGATCTCATGTGATATTGGGTTAAATATGTACTGATTATGTACTGCTGTGACGCCTCTTTGTAAACACTGGGGCAGAGCGTCTGTTTGGGTTTTTACTGTTATGGGATCTGTGGCCAGTCTCGAATGAATAATCTGTCACTATATATGATGTATTACATATGTATATGATGTATTTTAATAGTTATATGATGAATCTCTGCAAGACGCGCTTATGGTTTGCAGTGATTCGTCTTCTGTCTCTGTCCTGTACCTTTTCAGTCAGTTTCTTCTTGTTTTTCCTTCTCAGTTCTTCTGGCGCTGCACTGTTTTTGGTTAAATCCTTATGGGGCTCCACATTTTCCTTTGATGTTATGTTCACTGATCGCTTCTTCTTCCCGCCAAGCAGACCGCCGCAGACAGCGGCACAGGGCACCATCAGCACCAGCAGCCCCACGACGGCCGAGAGCAGCATCACCCACGGAGGAAGCTGCTCCGCTCTCAGACCCAGCTCCACTCCCAAATGTGTTCTGACATAACCTTCTCCAGAAGACAGCAGATCCCGCAAACAACTTGAAATTATCTCGACCTTATCCAACGCGAATCCTCGGATGTCCCCTGCCATGTTTTCAATTCGCGACAGTGTTGTTAGCTGCTCTCATCAGTATGCTAATGCTAATGCTAATGCTAACAGAGGAGTGGCTAATGCTGTCACAGCTGAGGGAGAAGATGCTCTGAGCCTGACACAAGTGTGCAGCCCATTGATGTAAACTATACACTCATGAACACACATGTTATGACATAGAAGCACTGTACTAATGAAAATAAGAATAATACATTAAATTAAGGCTATTAATAAAGTCTTGGGTATAATAAATGTATAAGAAACTTAATAAAAGAATAAAACTTATTATTCAACATTATTCAAAACCATTGTAAATGCAAGACACTTTGTAATAAATAATGCACATTTCATTTCACTTTCAAATTAAATAACCAAGAAGAGATACTAAAGATGGGTTAGAAGTCTGCATCAAGAGTGAATTCACTTTCCATTGGGCTAGACATAACACCAAACTTTTGATATTCTGCCACACGTTTTTCAAAGAAGTTGGTTTTGCCTTCAAGCGAGATTGACTCCATGAAGTCAAATGGATTCTCAGCATTGTAAACCTGAAAAAGAAATAATAATAATACTAGTGTATTGTAGAACATAATGCCGTTGGACCTTCTTTGAAAATACCTTATCAAGGCCAAGATCTGCAAACAGGCGGTCCGCTACAAACTCAATGTATTGCTTCATCAGAAAGCAGTTAATTCCAATGAGATCCACTGGTAAAGCTTCAGTTAAGAATTCCTGGAAACCAACAGGCAGATTATCAACACAAAAAGGAACATACAATAATTGAACAGTTGAATTTAGCTGAAGTTAATTAATATGTTTTACCTGCTCAATGCTCACAGCTTTGGTTATAATATCCTTTACTCGGTCTTCTGATGGCTTTTTAACCAAGTAGCTAAACAGGAGGCATGCAAAATTACAGTGCAAACCCTGCAAACAAAAATATGATAATTTAAGTCAACAACTCTAAACACAGAACAAATTAATAAGAGTACATGTTTATGCAAAGATTAGATTTAGTATTGAAAATAATCTCACCTCATCTCTGCTGATAAGTTCATTGGAATAAGTAAGGCCAGGCATTAGACCCCTCTTTTTCAACCAGTAAATGGCAGCAAAAGACCCAGAGAAGAAAATACCCTCAACAGCTGCAAAAGCCACAATTCTTTCACCTAAAGACAGAACAAGACCAGTTTAGGAAGAGGTTGAAAGGATCCTCTTCCTTAATCACATACATATTAGGGCTGAAGTCATTGATTATTTTAGTGACTATGCATTAATAGAAGGTAATAATCAATTCACAATCTATTCACTTTACCTTCCAAAAAACATTCTTGATAAATCATGTTTTATCAAAAAGCATGATTACAGTTACAACCAATATGACATTTCAGCATCTGGAGTACGTTGCCTTTGGGGCATTGGGGTCCATTAGGAAAAAATTCAGTGTGAAACAAGTGACGAGATTAGAGCGTTTCACTTGAATTTAAACTATGCAAATAATCAAGGAAATGAAATTGTAATTGAATATTTAAATTTACTCAATAACTTCAACCCTAACATGTAATTATATACACATCTATAATATAGATTTGTTTTTTTGGTTTGTTTTTTTACCAAATGATGATTTTCTGTCATTTATCCACTGTAGAGCCCAGTCTGCTTTTCTCTTCACACAAGGCATGGTTTGAATGGCATTAAATAAATGATCTCTGAAAAAGACAGTATACAAATTAAAACACTTTTCTTTATTCACATTAAAGTGAAAGGGGTTGTGTGTAGTATGCACTCTTAGTGGTCTACAAAGATCATAATTACAATACAACTTTTGTTTCCAGAATCTTCCTGGCTGTGCCACATGTAGCTCCCAAGCACTAATTACTGATGCGAGCTAGGAAATTTACCAACTGTGTATTACTTATTCTTGTATCTGCTTTCAAATGTGTGGTGCTATTCTTTTGATTTGTAGATGTTGACCTATTATCTGGGGACACATATGAAAGATATATACGTAATTTTAAAAATTACATACTGTCTTTTTAAAAAGAATGCACAAAAATCCCAAAAATAAATTGTTTCAGTGTTTCAGGCTGAAGTACAAAAAAAATGAAAAAAGGCGTTCCCTCAAACTATTATTCATTTTGGATTTTGAAAAGGATGCATGATGACAATGTGCGCACTGCAATCCAATATTCTGGTTCAAATATGTTCATTTCAATATGAATAGCAGTACACGGCCTCACTCACCTCTCTTTGAGGTCTCTGATGTATGTGTTGATCAGCTCACTGTACATCTCTGAGTGAACCGTCTCCATTAGAATCTGGACACTGTAGAAAGATCGTGCTTCAGGGACCTGAACCTCCTGACAAAACCGCTGCACCTAAAAAACGCTTTGCTGTTATCTTCAGTTTCTGGTGGTTTTTGATTAATGATGCACACTCTTGAGATGCTCCTTATATTAATGGTAAGTAGTGTAACTTACCAAATTCTCATTCACAATACCATCACTTGCAGCAAAAAAGGCAAGAATATGCGAAATAAAGTGCTTCTCATCTGTTTTTAGACGTTCCCAGTGTGCCAAGTCTTTAGATAAATCCACCTGAAAGAAAAAAAAAGGAAAAGAACTTGAAGAGCAGCTCACTTGCCCGAATTACATCTACTTAGCTGAGCCTCACCTCTTCCACTGTCCAGAAGGAAGCCTGAGCCTGCTTGTACATTCTCCACATATCAGTGTAATGTATGGGGAAAATTACAAATCTTCTGGGGTTTTCTTTAAGCAGTGGCTCGTCATCATCTTTAAAACCATTCAGCTGCTCTGCATCTTGGTCTTTTAAGCCATTCTGCTATAAAAAGTTATGGAATAATTGTAGTGAGACTGCGCATGCGCGTAGATTCGAAACATCCAAAACAAAAGGACAATTAAAGGTCTTTCTGGTGGTAGGCCTGTCATACAAATTACCGTTAATTTAATATAAAATATCTCTTACATAACTCACTGTTTAGCTACGTTTGGATCTTTTTGTGCTGAGTGTGACATAACAGCAGTTGGTAAACTATTAAATTGGTCCACAGGTTTCACCAAAATGTGTCCATTATAGGATTCATATAACGTTAGCGTTAATAAAGAACGTAATGGTTGTCTGATGCTGAGCACGTTTGCACAGTAGACACCTACGTAGATCCCTAATAATAGATCCATGCTAGCCACAGTCAGTGCTAGTCTATAATGTGAACTAAAGAGTCAAGTTCTTACCGTGTGCTGCTGGTTTGTTTTGATCAGCTCCATGGTCAAGATCACTTATGTCTGTCATAAGAAGCTAGGTGCTTATGAAAGCTCCAGCTACCATTACTACTCTTGATCGCGAATGCGGTCCATTTAAATCCCAAGTGCGCCCCCTGCAGGACAAGCTTTGAAATGTATCTCATGGACTTCAGCTTTCTGTCACTTTTAAAGAAGTCTCCAACCTTATGTCGATTGGAGCTACTTTAATTAAACAGAAAGCTACCAGAGAGCTACTCCTTTAGTAGTTGTAATACAATTGTAGTCTATAATAACTACAGTCAATCATGGAGAATATATACTGCACTATATTCATAAAACATAGTTCAAACAGACTCAAATAAATGATTCAGGATCCTATGTTAAATTCTTGAATGCTTTTGGGAGCCATCTGAAAGGAGGTGGAGACTCGTGCTTTAGAAGTATTCCTTAATACAGGTGCGCCAAAATTGGGGGCCGTGGACTAAATTTGGCCCGTCAGAACCTTTAAATTGGCCCAAAGGATTCTCAATTATTGTTAAAATGCAAACATTGATGAGCTACCAAGACATGTACTTTATCAGTCTATGATAACTTCTTCACCATTGGCCCAGTTGATTCATACACTCATTTTGTTCAGAAAAATCTACCATGAAACATCCAAATTCAAATTAAATAAAAGTCCAAATTTGGTTGAAATACTATACAAAAAAGATACAAAATAGGAATTTCAAGCAAAGTTATGGATACTAAAAGTATTCAGCCAATAATCAAACACCTGAAAAAGTCTATAGGTATTCAAAATGGCATACTTAAAAAAAAAAATCATAGACTGCAGATTGAGAGCCAATAATCTCTTAAGTCAATTAGGACAATTGAGGGTAAAAGAAAAGAAAAAAATATGACTATTCACTATACTCACTATAAATTGTTGCATACAATTAGAACCATAAACAGATTATTAGAGTGGACTAACGTCCAGTTACCCTTAATAGGTAATCAGTGTTGCCAACACTGTTGGTACGGCAAGCTGGAGTTTCCACCATGAATGAAGACATCTGATTTGTCGATTCCTACATGGCTCATGTCTGGATTTTCAAAGACAATATCAAAATAAAAACACCAAGCAAGACCACAGATTTTTAAAGCTCAAAATACAAACAGTTACTGAGCTACAAGAGTTTACTTTTCAGTTTAAGTCAATAGGAAGGGAAACTTTGTCAATGAGCACTTCCCAATTAGGCTTCATTGTGCTACGGAGTTAGGATTCTCCTCATGGATAGAGCAAGAGGAACAATATAAACACTAATGGCATTTTTGTTTATTGTGGTCCAATAAAATAATCAGACATTTGATACTAAAACTACACAGCAATATTATGTATTCCCAAACGAAATACGTCATTTGTGCACACCCACGCTTGACCATTCGCCGACTTCAACATGAACACTTGGTGAAAGCCCATAGGAGGATCGTCATCTGCCTGTTGGACAGAACACACGAGGTAAGTGCACTGATTGTGTTAAAGTAAAATAAAAATAGTAAATTGTACAAAAATGTAAACATCATACCTGTAATTGTCCGAACACCATGATCAGAATACATCCATCTACTGTGGGTTGAAAGTCTTGCCCAGTGATGATATGTTTAATTCGCTTAAAAGGCAGGCTCTGATGGAAAGATGAAAATGTTAGAAAACATGTTTTCATGAATGTTTTGCTAAACCAATGAAACCCCACAGAATACAGAATTACATTAATTGTTGTGCTTCCTTCAGGGTCAAATTGTTACACTAGTCTTTTTAAAAAAAAAAACTAATATTTAGGGTATTTTTTAAAATTTAATTTGCCACCAAATAAAAAGGACTAATTTTAACAGCAAAGTTTAACTTCATTCTTCACAAAAGGAGGGTAAAATAGTAATAAAACGTTCCATTTCCTGTGTTTGTACATACTAGCAGCTCAGACGATTATCATAGAACAGTTTGGAGTTGAGAGCTGAGACACATTGTAAAACTTTACTCTTTATTATTAATATGTTCAAGATAGAGATATAACTGCTCTTTGATGCTAGAGTTAGAGATGTTTTATTTTAATTATAGCTATTTTCCACTTGTGCTGTGTGCTCGTCATTCCTACTGTTCTATAACTTGTGATGCAACTCTGAAATGTCCCCACTGTGGAACGAATAAAGAATCTCTTAATCTTAATCTCTTAAATGAACTACGATAGAGGCTCCACCCATGAACACCAGCACCAGTCTGCAACGGAAATGCAAGCAGGGCTGATTGGGACCAATGCAAGAGCAGCAGAGTTGAGTTGAGCCAAGTCAGGGAAGTGAAGTGGAAAAGGCCTATAAAAGCCATGTGAAAGAGACTGTGGTCTGAGACCAAAATTACACTTTTTGTCCTAAATGCAAAACATTATGTAAGGCTGAAAACAATGACAGCTCATCACCCCCAGTGCACCATGTTCAAGTGTCAAAAGTGTCAATATGTTGGGAGGTGGCAGAGTCATATTATGGGCCTGGTTTTCTGCAGCAGGGACAGAATTGATGAGAAAGTGGAAGGAGTCAAATACAAGACAATCTTGGAAGAAAAGCAGTGGAGTGAGCAAAAGGCTTGAGGCCTGGGTGCACATTTACCTACCCTCAGAAGGTGGGTTAATTGTTAAGGTAAAGGAGCGTCCTTAAAGACTTTTCAACAACGGAATGGTTTCAAACAAAACATATTCATCAGTTAGGCTGGCCCAGTCAAAGTCTAGACTTACAAAGTTAAAATCTATAAACTGATTAAACAAAATCTCAGTGTCTAATATAACAGTCTAATATAACAGTCGTTGTTTTTTAATGTGCAAAACCTTCAGTCTCTAGATGTGCCATGCTTGTAGCCATACACAAAGAGACTGCTGTGATTGCAAGAAGGGGGTTTCTGCAAAGTATTAACTCTTTATGCTGAATAATTACTTGTGCAACCTTCAACCTTGTCAGTCTTAGAATAATAACGGTTCTTTTCTACACTGCCAGCAACTCAATTACAACTCATCTTAATTCTGTAGATGGTTGAGTCAAGGTTCTACCCAATACTTTTGACACCATGATGCCACATGTTGCACTTAACTCACAGAATCAATGTGGAGTCGTAAGTAACAATATAATGACCAGCTGATCCATGAGTTTCAGAAGTACAAAGATAAAAAGGTATGGGAAGATTTTCTTCTTCTGGGTGGAACATCTAAACTATTGGTCCTCCTAATTGTCAATCATTCTGGTGATATGCGAGACACGTTATAGTAGCTGTTCCCTCTGAGGAGGGCGGTTCTTTCCTACTATTCAGGAAAATCCTCCTATTTACCTTTAATATAATGTTTTAGAGGAAGCTGAACCCTGTGAGCTCTATGCACACTTACTCCTAGTTTCCCGGATATAGCTTCACGTCCTTGAAATAGCGTTCCTTCCCATGTCAAAACAGCAGAATCAGACTGAAAAAAAACAATTATGCAATTAAAAACCCTGTATTATAATAATACTGCAAACAAAAAATCCCTGGGAATTTAATCGTTTAATATACATATTCTCTTTGACTAAAGCTTTGCCTAATAAAATGTCTTGGCATCACAAAACCGGGCCTAACTCCATCTCTGGCTTTGTTTTAGTCCGTTATTTTGTGTTCTGAATACTATACTGGATATCTGCTGGAGGTACATAAGAATCTCACTGTATGTAATGTGTATGTGACAAACAATAATAAAGTAAACTAAACTGAACATCAAAAATATCATTATGTTAATATCTCAGCATAACGTCATGTCCTGTGCTTTATGGGAATACAGAGCTATTCTACAAGTACATGTTTTGGGGACTTTCGTTTTAGTGAATCAGAGCTCTGTCTATGGGCAGTTACGTGACGGGGGTGGCTAAAAAGAGTCATTATAATAACCAGACTTACATAAATCAAACCAAGACTACTTCTATCTGTATTGTCGAACTGTTGATAGTAAGTTTGGACAAAAATCTTCCCAAGCTCCTGCCAGTCCATGACGAGCGCTGGACCTGCAAATGTGACAGTCATTTTAGAACGAGATCAAAAATAGCATAAGGGGAATGAGAATAACATTAAGCACTAAAAGTCATAGGCAATCACAGGAATACACTTGGAAAAACATGGGAACGTCGTCATAAAGAACCATTTGTTGAGTTCATGTTTGATTCTTTCATTTTAGCATTAACGCTACTTTGTCAGTTAGCCTCTTTAGCAGCATGCACGGAGATCCAAGTCCTTTACACTCGCCTTCATAAATATAGCAGATATATGAACATCATAAGTCATGGATATTAGTGTACATCCCAAATAACCAGACTACAAGCCAATCACAAATCATTTCTGAACTTTAAGCCCTTGTTTAATACTAGCACATAGCGTCATCTCTCATCAAACCGGGAGCGGTGACCAGGAAATGTGTCTGATAAGTGTTTTGTCTAACGGAGAGAACCTGGTCCGTTTTAAACGCTATTCTATAGGTGAAAAAAAGACACAAAAAACACACCTTTGCAGTTATATCCGACTTTTGAAAACGAGGCCGAGTCAGCGTGGGGACAGTGTGCAGACACAGCAGTCACAGCCTGTGCTGGGATTCCCGCTTCCTCCCGATTATGACGTCAGCAACTCTGGGCGAATAAGAACAGCGCTTGTTGCCCCGTGGACTCATGGATGTAAGTGTGTAAATGACCACAAAGTGTTTTTGATAATATTTTATTTCAGATATGGTTAACATTTGGTTTTAGCTTTAGGGATTTTATTTTTTGAAGGTAGTTTCCTTTTTCTACATGTTAGCGCGAGGCGCAAATATAATACAGTCTATGGGCGCAAGCCATCAACGGCAATGCACGGTAACCACGGCAACAGAAAGGCGCTCCGAAAAAGTTCAACAGAACAGAACAATGTTATTATTTGTTAGCTACCCCTTTGTTGAGGAACAAGGCACGTTTATTACAAATGTATATTTGTCAAATGTACGTTGTATTATTTGTAGGGTTGTAATAGTTTGATTATTTGCTTACACACTTTACTTATTGTTGTGTTCTCAGCTCTTACGGTGAATTTGAGGCTTTACTTCCATTAAACTCAAAAATCATCAGTAAAGTGTCTTCCTTTATGCTACACATATTATTGACCTGTGGGTGGCGCCTGTGTGCTATGTCTGCGGGGGGCAGGGCTAGCTTAATATTTACAGTCCATGGGCCCTGTCTAAAGAGCTGTTCAGGTGTGTTCTTTTAGATGTAACTGAGTTACATCTAAAAGGAATATATTAGTTACTTTTTGTAGCTAGTTCCTCCTAACACAGGACATTAATTTATTATAAAATATAATGTACTGCATGTGCAGTGGTCTCAAAATAGGCTACTAAATAATCAAACAGACCATGCAGAAAGAGAAAAATGTTGCAAGATTTAATGAATAAAAAACTTGAGCAAAATCAGCCAGTTAAATACAAAATATTTTTGGCAAATAAAGCATTTCATTGTATTTCAACAGTGTTAATTTTGATCAGGGCCACAACAAAAGTTGTATGTAAAAAAAAACCCACACACACAGCTTAATAACTGGCCCTAATAAAGTGACAGCTCATGTACAGTGTGCTTAAACATACATGCATGTATACATATCAAGGAGGCAACATTACAGTCAGAAACAACAAGTTATACGGCTAACACTGTGAATTGGAAGACGATAAAAGGCCTATTGTTGATGAAACATTAAAAATACATCATTCTAAAACGCGTGCAGATAGTTACAAATTCAAGCAATAAGAATGTTGGGGTTTTATTTTTATCAAAGAAGCTGAGCTATTCATTAAACTCAATCAATTCTTGTTTGCACACGGTCTTTCTTACTACATATCATTAGGGAACAACCAATTTTGGATTTTTTTTATTTGGAACCCATAGATACAAAAAAAAAATCAGACCTGCCTATAAGATTTATCCACCCCCTAGCGTTTGGACTAGTCTAAGATATGCGTGTATTGTGATACAAATAAAGTGAATTCCACAGAATCTGAGCTTTAAACTGAGGTTAAACATGTCATGTCCGGGTGGAGGCAAAGTTTGCCAAAAATGAGTGGCTGAGTGGGGAAGATTAAGTTCAATGATGAAAAAAAATCTTGACCAATTACAGCGGTCTCACGACTGTAAAATCAGTCTATATAATTGGCAAACCAATAAATTGGTCATTTCCTACAAATAATAATAAAAAATGGACAGTATTGTGACCCCCTTAGGCACTTTTAAATATTTGCTACAGTTCAGTCCAGCCGCAGAACACAATGATCATACGTGTTTTCTTGCACATCCAATCAAGTGATTTGTTCCAACAAATTGTACTATTGCTTTGTTAAGGTGGCTGTCCCAAAATGTCTTCTTACAACAAATGGCAGTAAACAAAGAATACAAAAAGCTTTTAAATCTCATCATGAGTCACTGTTGAGGCTGTGGCGGGAAGTAATCATCAGTTTGAAAAACACTAGGAACCTCCTGTCGCTGATGCGCAGCTGGTCGTCTCGGGCTGGACTGTTTCTGGAAGTTAAAAAAAAAGAACATTAATTGAAAATGCTTCAACATTTTACATAGAACAAAGTGATGACTTACATTTAGAAAAGTGGGAACTGTCATTGTTCGGAACATTTTTTTGAAAGCACTGGGTAATGTTCCTAGTTCTCCCTCTGCCTGCGTGACCTGCTCTTCCATCGCATTAACATTGGCTCCAACCATTTTCACAAAGGCCTGAGATAAACAAAAAAACAACAATAGAATAAGTCTCTGATGTGTCAACATTTCCAACATAGTCACATTTATTTCCTATATTTATTAATTCAGTGTTTATTTGGTTGTGGCAATAGGATGAGGATGATATCTAACTTGAGTTATTTGAATTGTTACGACACTAGTTAGCATAATACATACATACAAACCTCTAGTTTATCTATCCGCCTGTATATTTGTCTCATTTCTTCAGATTTCTGTTGGATTTGAGGTAGGTTTTCATTCACAATCTGAGATGTATCATTCCGAATCTGCATAAAGAATATAAACATGAGATTCATAGGTCAATCAATCAATCAATTTATTTATAGAGCCCTTTAAAACACTCAAAGCGACCAAAGTGCTTAACATTAAATTTCATAAAATCCATTAAAAACATTTATACATTAAAAACAATAAAACAGATTAAAAACATTTAACAAGTGTCACCTGAGTGATAAAAAGGTTAAAGGCCAGTTTGAATAAATAAGTTTTGAGCCTGGATTTAAAAAGGCCAAAATCAGTGAGGACAGGCATATCAAGGGGCAGCTTGTTCAAGAGTCTGGGTCCAGCGACTGAGAAGGACCGGTCTCCTCAGTGTTTGGACCTAGTCGTAGGTACTTCGGGGAGGAGTTGAGATGATGACCTAAATGATCTGCCTGAGTCACGAACAGACAAAAGTTCGGACAAGTACGGCGGGGCGAGACCATTGAGGGCTTTAAAAACAAAGAGAATTCTTTTTGAATCAACTCGTAACGAAACTGGAAGCCAATGTAGGGAGTAAAGGACTGGGGTGATGTGATGACGTCTGGGTGTGTTTGTTAAAAATCGAGCTGCAGCATTTTGCACCAACTGTAGACTGTTAAAACAAGACTGGGGGACTCCACAATAAAGGACATAGGTGTAAATTAATATTTATTTTAGGTATTGGCAACAGCTACTTACCATATCTAACATCCCGACAAATTCATCCACTCTCGTCAACATTTCTTCCAAACTTTTCTCCAGACACAAGACCTAGATAAAATTGGGAAAGAAAGGGTAACTAACATATTTTGACTTGTGTAAAAATGAGTCTGCTTGCTTGTTAAGACCGCAATCTTTTTCCACAAACAGTCCATTGTCTTTCTGATCAGCAAGACAGACGGGTAGCTTATTTAGGACTTGAGAATAACGTATCATGCACATTCACTTAAAGCTGAGGAACCTAACTTTAAAACCAACTATGAAATAAAATCCATCTGATAATATCTCAGTTTGTTTTGATCACTAGACCAGACCGTTTCTGTTGGGATAAACAAAAGGCATACACTGGAAAATTATGTGGAAGGCAATTTAATTATGGCAAGTAGTTGAAAGTGAATCCTGTTGGTAAATAGTCTGTGAATCCTTGCAAATAAAGTACATGAAACAAGAACACTATGTAATAAAATCCAAAAATCTCTCACAAATGTTCTATCATTAGAACTTATGCATGCATTTTTGACCATACATCTTTAGATAAGCTTTTTCTGTATGTACCAGCCATGCATCTATAATGGTACCAGCCCTCAAATTGGCTCTCAGTGTGCAAAAGACAGCATATTGTGTTCTGATTTGTTCATAAATGTTAGGGTTTCTGTTGGGTTATCACAAAATGCATTTGAAACAAGAACAGAGTCAGGTATTCCAGCTCTAATGGCCATGTATCTGTGCATAGTTACATCTATATGGTACCTGTATATCTGTCTGTTATGTTGATTTTTGAGATGATGATATTTGTGCAGGTTTTGAAATAAATAATATCTATCTATCTATCTATATGGTACATCATTGCCTTTCCTTTTCACAGTTTACAGCACTATACGGCACGTAGTTAATGTCGTACGTAAACAAACACATGACCTCCGTGGTGCATACCTCTTCCCCGGCAGTGGCTCGTATGTAGGCCGAATAGCTTGCCGCTGTTTCCCGCAGTAGTTCCTTGTCCTCCTCCGCTTCTACTTGCACCCGTCCGTCGGAGTTTGCCCCCGGAGCATCGCCCAGACTCGGGCTGTGTGCGCCCAGGTTAGCCGCCGCTGCTGCTCCGAAGCTGGGACTCTGCGACACAGTTCCGCTGCTCCAGATGTCGCTCACCATCGACAAACTACTCGCACTTTGTGACACTATGCCGCTGTCTCGGCTGATCTCTGCGCTGGACTCTTCTAGAGGAGACAGGAGGCCCACTCTGTCATTCCTGTGGAAGTCCATCGCGCCGTGTTTGCTGCTGCTGCTGCTGTGATCGTCTGTCAAATGACTCAATCACGTGGAGTAAACAGGACGGTGGCCGAGATTGGTCAAACGGAGAAAATACAAATGATTGCGTATTGACAAATGTAGGAAATCAGCTATAAAATATTTTTTGTAGATAGATAATATACCAATGCAAGATAGTTCGTGGCCTGAAATACTTTACATTCAGAATAGAAAATATTCGGACTAAATGTTTAATATATCGACATCTTCGTGCGAGTTGTTTCAAACAAGGAACAAGGAAAGAACAAATTATAATGAGATGTTTAATTAATTGTGTAGTTTCCTTCACACAAACACTAGTAATTTGCTTCATCTCGACGCCCGCCAGAGGGCAGTCCAGCATTCACAGGGTTTTTGATCAGTCAATTCCCCCAAAGCACCAAAAGTACCCTTTAGTTCTATGTCTGACAGAGGTAAGACCAAGTCAAAATTAATTGACTTGGTCTAATTATTCACTCCATTTTAGAAAAGGCTCAATAAACAAGAAGAAAGTGTCCCTTCTTAAACAGAGTATAAGTCACAAATAAATGTGTTGTATGGTAGATAATAACTCCTTTCCTAAATCTTGGCCCATTTGATCAAGGTATGTCTCAAATTATCAAAATTTAAATAATAAAGTCTGACTTACATGTAATAGACAGGGATAGAGACCACATCATTGCATTGGGAATTTTTGAGAAAACATCTAATTTAACCAGCGACTATAACGAGGTCCATTATCATGAATCCAAGAACGAGATAGCGGCAGAAGATTCACTCTTTAGTTTACTTTGCTGTCAGTGATCCATTAACTGTTATCTAAGTAAAGGGTGACGACAAACAGTGATTAGGAGAAGACCTCCTGAGAAAATTGAGGCTCAAATTGTAATACAAAAAGACATACACACATATATAACCTGGGTGAATAGCTAAATCTTACTAAAGAGATGGTATTACAGTATTTCTAAATCATTATACAATTATATTAAAGCCCTTTTTTCCTCCTACATGACAATAACTAAGGATTTACAACATGTGAACAAGGTCTTTGGAGGCAAAATACAGTAAGTAATTGCCATGAGGTCTACTTCAGTTGCAAAAATGAACCCAAGCAGCACAAATAGTTCTTTCCACAAGATGTCACACCCTTTAAATGCTAAACAGTTTGTGGTTATGGATTCTCGCCTAAAGATGTCAGTCATGTTTTTGACATTTATATAAAAGATGCTCAATTAGGAAACAGATTTATGGCTGTAAGTTTATAATTAAACCCAGAGGCAAGTAAATGAGTTCTAAAATGTGCAAAAGCTTAGGATTGAGAATAATTTATTGAAAGTGGAACAGAATAAAAATCATCGATGCATAAAAGAATTATTTAAAAATCATACTCTACACAGCATTTATTTGAGATCATTAGAAATATAGATTTACTCTTTAAAAACATCCGTCAGAAACCCTAAAGTTGGTCCCAGTTTTTAGCATTAAAAGACACAGTAAGAGTGGTCACTAAGAGCAGGCACATTCAAAATGCTATAAAACAGTGGAGTTTCCTAAAAATCCGAAGTTTATTACATACATGCGTACAATTATTTTTGTGTAAGACAACATTTAAGACATTTTAAAATACATGATATATACATTTTTTCATAATCCACTTTGTGATTATCTTGTAAGAATCAGGCAGATGTTATAACATGAGTATGTGGTAAAAACACCAGTTTGTAGAGAGTCTGTGACATTAGCATTATAGTGTGATAACGGTTCCATCCTCCTCCACCCCCCCTCTGGGTAGCACCAGGCTATGTCGAGGGTCCGTTTTGAGCGCGCTGAGCATTTTGTGGAGGCTACCATTGCTGTGGCGAAGCGCGGGGTTGCTGCTGTGATGGGACGGCCTCATGTGAAGCTGGGACTGAAGGCTGTGCGGAAGGTCCTTATGGGTTTTGTAGCTGGCCCCGCTGTGCTGATGGTGATGATGGTAAGTGTTTTGGGTCGACGCGCCGTTAAGACTGGTCTGGGAGTGGTATGACGCTGTGGAAATGATGGAAGGGGGACGCGTGGGGGGGCTGGGAGAGGCGGGCGGCGCGTGCACGGGGGCTGCTGCTGCTGCGCCGCTAGTGGAGGGTATTTGGTGGTGGGAACGAGACAAGTTGGATCTGTTGGAAGCCAGCGACGCATTGGAGCGCTGGGAAGGCCGTTTGATGCTGTTTTCTATGACGATATCTGTGTCTTCGTCGCTTTCGAGGTCGTCGGGGTAGCTGTGAGATGAGGAGAGGGGCATCCCACCGGAGGCTACGGAAGTGGGGTACCCAATGGAGCCGCTGCTGTCCGAAGACTGACCAGAGCTGCCCGAAATCCGGCTGCCGCGCACTACATTGTTCCTCTGATTTACTGGCTTTACGGTGACAATCAGGTTGTGGCTGTTCGCGATCATCATATCTGTGACCTGATCCAGAGACTTCCCCGTCACTTCAATGCCGTTCACCTCCAGGACTTCGTCGTTCACAGCAAGTAATCCGGTGCTTTCTGCTAATCCGCCCGGCACCAAGCGCGAGATAAAGATGCCTGGGACCTTCTCCAAACCGTGTGGCGTCACCCGAACGCTGGTCCCGTCCCGAATGTAGAAGCCGAGAGGTTTGTCCGAGCCGTGCCGGTATAGACGGACACGGCGATGCGACTCGGGAAGGATATCCACGTCGATGATGGAGGACACTGGCCGGAAGTCCTGGGGCATGCCGATTCGGATGTGCGGGCGCTTTCGGTTGACGTCGTTGTTGCGTAGAGCCACCACCGCCTTCTTCTTGCGGGTTAATGTGTTGGTGCCAAAGCTGGTGTATTCAATTTCCTCTGCAAACAAACAAAAAGAAAAAAGCATTAGGGTACAGTATATTCAGCCACAGAAAGAATCAGAAATGCAATACCAAAAGGAAACAGTAATATGGAATGGAAAAAATAAAAACTCGTAAAATGTGTAAACAAGCAGCTATGAAACAACGAGGTAGTATTGAAATGGTACTTTTTCCCCCCAGAAGGCAACTTGCATTCTACCAGCTGTGTACTGTCTACGCCCAACACTTTTAAATCACAACACAATTCTCATAAAATTAACTTCAATGAGCTGCAGATGTGCTTTGTAGAAGGCCATGATAATTTGTACGGATTTATTTCCAAGCCTGACACATTTTTAAGTCATAAAACAGCATTTCTTTACTGCCGCATTCACTGAACAATAGCTGGGTCACATGATATAGAACGCGTCAACCTACATCAACCAGCTGAATGTAGGGGTTATTTATAAAGTGCTGATTTTGCAGATGTCTTTGCAGTGTGTTGATAATGACAGAAGTGGCCCACCCTTATTTTACAGCAGAACTATTTTCCCAGTTCAGAGACATGAAGAACCCACATTTGCTCGAGAAGGTTTGAGAGTCGGTCTGATTTAAGATAGTAGAAAGTAAAAAATGATTTGTTAAGATGGAATTAAAAATGGAATACTCTTTTGACAAATGGTAAGTGACTGAAGACACTTTAATTCTCAAACAGACAACTATTTAACTAGATAAAAGCCAGCAAAAAAAATAATTATTACTAAAACCAGAAGTAACCAGGAACAAAAGTAAAACGTATAATGAATTATTTGTGTTTATTTTATATTTCTTGCCCTAAACATGATCTAGAGTAGGAAATGACCATCGGTGCAGATCATTTTGACCATTGAAAAAAGAAATCCCCCAAACTAATTTGCAGGCAGAGACATCCATAGTGTATAGATTTCGTCAGCAGGGGGCGATAGGACGTGTTTGTGACATAGTGTGACATCCAGGCATGTGTTTGCTACAATATTGTTTTGGAACGACAATGTAGCCTTTAAAATAACATATTTAAACACACTTTGAGGTTCTAAATAGTATCCCAGTTGAAAACTTTGTACTTTTACCCCACCCTGTTACTTTTGCTTTGAGAAAAGTAATAAAACACAGCTTGTTACAACTACTACAACATTAACAATTTTAAAATACGTCTCAGTGCAGTTGTTATTTTGTGATAGAAACTTGGACAAAAGATAACATGATAACTCTCTAATCTTCCCTTCATGGACTGACAGGAAGTCTGGACAGAGCTCGGCATGATGGGACAGGAAGAACAGCCCCCCCCCTACCCCCTCCCACGTCGCTAGGACAACAGCCATGACTCTTCTTGACCAGACGCTGTCCATGACACCTGCTTTTTGAAAATATTGGGGTCGAATCTGTGCATCTCGGAGGGAGTGCACTGTAATGTTTGGCTGCGTCTTCAAAGTGCAAAGAACAGTGAGATAAATGTGGAAAGCCGCTGCCATAACAGTTCCCGGAGCAGAGCTGGATCATCACTAATATATTCTTCATCTTCTCTGAGAAACAGTGACACAAGAGAAGATTACAGTGTAGCTTTCATGTTTTTGAGCAGGTCACAGATGACAGGAAGTCTCTCCCAGAAAACTAAGGAGAAAAATTTACACCGGACCTGCATTTGACTAATGTTGCATTATTCTTGTTCAATTCAATTAAATTTTCTTGTATCGCCCTAAATCACAACTGTAGTAATCTCAGAGGACTTAACAAAACAGTTGAAATAGCCAACACAGACAGAGACAAACAGTTATATGTCCATAAATGTTAATAATGTATGGACAGTTTGTATGTCAAGAATAAAGCCACGTTTTGACAACTTTTTCCACCTTTTGTATTTTAGTCATTTTAGATTTTGCATCACAATTCAACATAATTACGTTTCAGTGGTCAACATAATGAATGAATTAAATAGTATAATCTATTACTGCTTTTTCTTTGAGATTGAATTCAGATTGTCGTGCTTTTCACCTGTTGCTGGTGACAAAATTGTTGCCAACATTTTGAACCAGATACATTTCTATTTATGCAACATCTAGTGTGGCCTAAGAAACAGTTCGCATTGTTTTATCCAGGAAGAAAAACAAGCACACATAAGCAAATCCTAAAATACTCAAAATATTGGTTTTAAAGAGCTGGAGTCCATAAACAGTGACATCCTGAGAATGAAATCAGTCAAACAGGAACAGTCAGTAATAAAAAGTGCATGGGTGACATCTCTTGGCTAAGCATGAACTGAGATTGTCAAGCGTTTAAAAATGCAAAACTTTTCAGTCCACCATTGTAACCGTGAACAGCTCTTAAAGGTCTTTTAAGCATGCTGTGGCAGAGGCCTATTTGATTAAAAGCAGCCGGAGCATTTGCTATAGGGCTGGAATTTCTGCCACAAGTGCAAGTCTCATGTGATGGGAACCATATTGGAGAGGCTTGTGATTTGTTGCAGATTTGTGGTGCGACGCCCACCTGAAGTCCTCAATAAAACCAGGTCTGATACCAGCGCACCAGGACATGTGATCTGAGCCCGGCATTAACCGCGTACATGTATAATTATGGCTCGTCGGTAATGCTTCGCAGCTGGTCGCGAGGCCCGAGAGAAGCCCCACGCTGCTGTGATTTGTTTGGGGTGTGACTGATATTTCCTCGGGCTGAAGAAAAGGAGCAAAGGATTGTGGGAAAGGCTGGGCAGAGGTTAAGTGCTCGACGTGGGGATCTGATGGAGTCGCACAGTAGTGGTATAACGGGACAGGAATACGCTCGAAAGATCAAATACATTCAAGTTATAAGCCCATGGACAATTCTGCACATACTGGTCTCAAAACCTAATGACAGTAATATGTTTAGTTTTTACATCCAAATCATAAACTTTGAAGTTGAAACTAAGTATTTCATGTTGATTGACTGATTCCACATTACTATGGCATGAAAAAGACAATTTCCTTCATGTGGACAAAACCCAGATCCTGTCAAACCTCTGAAGCTGTGCAGGGCAGGGCCTGGTTAGTACTGTGATGGGAGACCTTTGGGAACACCAGGTGCCACAGTGGGGCGGCTGTGGCTGTAAAGTGCCAAACTGTTGTTGTGTCCTTAGGAAAGACACTTCACCCACATTGCCTAGAATGAGTGGTGTGTGTGTGTAAATGGTTGGTGGTGGATATCTGGCACATACTGATTGTCTCGCTTCTGTCAGTGTGCCCCAGGGCAGCTGTGGCTACAGTAGTTGATCACATACGGAGTAAAAGAATATGTGAAGTGTCTTTGAGTGTCCTATAAGAGCTATTTAAAACCAATGCATTATTATAATTTATAATCTTGGTGTGACAAATAACGACTAAACGTGGAAAGGTCAATTCAGTATTTACCAACAGTATTTTTGCTTTTGCGCTGCCAGTGAAGAACATTTCAATACATGCAAGTGATTCATGTTATTCCAATGAACAGTGACCAAACCCTGAGTCCAGTCAAGAATGTGAGTGGGAGCTTATAGTCATTGGGGGAGAATCAAATAACATTAAGTTTAATCTAAAAGACATTCCACTGGAGATAAGAATATGAGTCAGGTACATGGGTATAACTTGAGTAAACGGCATGCTCAAAGAAGTAATCAGTGCAGGTGAAGTCAGAAACTTGAGAAAAGTAGCTATACGTCTAGCTCTGTAGCATAAAAGACAGTTCGCCGGCCAATCAGGTCTAATAAGAAAGTATGTTCAAATTGGTGAAGTCATGCAATAACGAGTGACTTGAAAAATCAGAGGCATTTCAGTGTGGAATAAATGAGCTTGTTCTGGCTGATCAAACAGCGGTTATTGGAACAGCTCTTGACAAATCTAATCCCAAATACACTGAGGCATGATGGCTTAATGGGCCCATGTGAACGCACTGATCAAAGGCTGTCGGGTCGGGTCCAGAATGAAGTTTAAGCGTGCAGTTTCAATCAGACATCACTGTATATTTCCACTGAGATGTTAAGAGCATGGGACCAACAATGACAATGTGTAGACGATGTATTCTACGGGTAAAACGGATTCCAAGTGACTGAAAATATATTGGTACTGAATTGATGAATTGCTGTCAACTCCCACCTTTGAAATCAAAGTTTCCAGAACAGGGGCAAAGAGGTTAAAAGTGAATGGAATGGTCATGAGACACACACACACACACACACATACACACACGCGCACACGCACACATGCAGGACCAAAAAAGACCAAAAACCAAAGATTCTTGGATGACTAAATGCATTCCATGTCCAGGTGTGGTAAAGGCTCTCAATTTAAAGATGATAACTTATCGGACCTAAACTTTACTCACAAATATTCAAGCGTAAACAAACTGAAATATTTTTGACATTTATAAACATTCATGGACATCGTTCTCTCCCTCAAGACCAAAACATATGTGTTCTCAAATTTTTTTTTGTCCTAACTGTTGATTCTCGGATCTGTGTTGGTGATTTCAATGGTTTTTTTAAGTCCTCCGAGATGACTGCTGCTGTGATTTAGGGATATACAAGAAAAAATGGTCTTGTATTGTATTGTAATATTTAGCGATTGATAAAAAAATATTGGTTTAATCAGAAGCTGAATTCTTTATTGCTATTGTAAGTAACAGGAAGTCGCAAGGTGCAAACAAGTTATATAAAAAAGTGCACACCAAGTACACACAACAGAAATTAAACATGTTTAATGAAAGTTTTCTGATTCAAAACATTTCGACAAAATTTGGTCAACTTAGGAATTTTGGACCATCATAGATTTTGGACCAATAGACCAAGAGGTTAAGTTTTAATGTTTTTTTTATGATGTTATAAAAGGTCCTAAAAAGACCATTGACTTTTTGACTTGACCTATGCAAGAATCTTAAATCCATGTAAGCAAAGTTACAATGGTTATTGTAGACCATAAACCCGGTGCTCAGAGAGTCTTTTCCAGGCACATTGCTTGGACTAAACTTTAACCTGTG